TCTAAAAAACTTGCTGAAACTTGCTTATTGGATTGCTTTCATTTATTATTTGCATTGGTTATATATTGTTTTATTATATTGTAATATTGATTGCTTTATTGGATTTGGATTTTAATGCTGTAAGCCATCCTGAGATGTTATACATAAAGGACGGCATACAAAAGTTTTAAATAAATAAATATACTGTGCTGGCTCCTCCCACTAGTCCAGAACTAGCTACAGGAGGAATGGGCAATTTGGGGCTTCCAGATGTTTTGGCCTACAGCTCTTTATCATTCCATGCCATTGGATATGCTAGCTAGAACTAATGGAACTTATAGGCCAAAACATCTGGAGGGCCACACATTGCCCAAGCCAGTCTAACCTAACTTTCTGGGGTTATCGGCAGAAGTCTTTTCCAGCACCACCTGGAGATATCAGGAATCAAACTTGGGAACTCTACCTGAAAAATGTGAGCTTTACCATGGAGCTATGGATGCTCCCTAAAGGCCACAACCAAACATTACAGTAGAAATGAGGCAGGACTGAGACTAGGATTCTGGGATCTTGCCTCATCTGCATCTGCAGCTGTTCTCGTTCACAGTCCACTCTTAGGCTGCAGTTCCTCAGCACACATACCTGGGAACAAGTCCCAGTGACCACAGTAGGAAGTGCTTTAAGGTGTGCCTGCCTTTAAGGTTGTTATATTATAGGTCTGCTTTAGTGGCTGGACACAGTACTACCTGCCTGAATCTCTTTTCTAAAAATGCAAGTCTGTAGGCTGGGAGAGCCCTGGGATTTTTAACAGTTGTACCATAGCTCTTAGTATCCTCAGGTACTTTAGACAAAACTATATGATGATGCTTAGGTAGAATAAATAATGATGCAGACTCGGGACTGGGCTCAGGCTCCACTCCGCTGCTGCTGACAGAATCTACTGCAAGTCATCCGGATTTCAGCAGTGCACTCAGCCCCGGGGACTCGTATCACCAGATTCTTGACTGTAAATATTTTGCTTCCCTATAACACCAATGATTCCAGGCCAGGCAGCTCCATTGCCACACTTCCCTGCTTGCTTGGCACAGAGGCTGTGACTGTGAGCTCCTCGACACAAGGCTGTTGATTTGTTGCATCTATTTTTAGTTTCATTGCAGAACTGAGATACAAGTACAATGCAAAGAGCATTTCTGTTCTTCCTTTCTGCTACATAACTTTAGATGGCACTGTGATACAGCTGAATAGCACAGGCACAAGTAGAAATCACAAATTCTTTTGTTTTCACAACAAAACACCACATTGTCCCTGCTCTAAAAACTTGCTGAAACTTGCTTATTGGATACAGTAGTGGAACTGGATGACCAACTGTAAAAAACTGTGAGTGGGGAATGGCAAGTGCACAAGAAACACCTCATGCAGCAAAGTGCTGGAGTGCAATTTCCATGGCTCAAGTACCTTCAGAGAAAGTGAAACAAATTCTGCACAGTCTGAAGTCTACCTTAAAGCACTCCTAGATTCAAAGTCCAGCTGGTCTATGGCCTTTTGCACGTAGCAGCTCTGTCTTGCAACATAGCAGCAGTGGATGTCGCCAGAGGTCTGTCAGCCTTTCTTCCCTACCCCTCACTCACCATGGATGGACACAGAGGACTTTGCGGATGAACAGTGCAGCACTCTGGGAGACATTGGGGTACAACTTGAAGGCATCGTAACGCCCTGCCAGGATCCTGGCCTCTGCTTCCAAGGGATCCATTTCGAAGAATGGTGACCGACCACTGAGCCTGGTAGGCAAAATTGAGGGTAGAAGGGGAAGACAGACACACGTTGTACTACTTTATCAAGTCAGCATTCCAAAAGCCTTCCCCCTTTCCACCATACTTACATGATGTATATAAGCACTCCCAGGCCCCATATGTCAGCTGCTGAGCCAATGGGATCTCCCTTCACCATTTCTGGAGCTGCAAAGGGAGAACGTAACCATCTCTTTCCTTCCAGGCCAAGGATGTGGAATCTCAAGCCCACAAACTCCATTTGGCCCTCTGGCACATCTGTTTCTCAGACACATGCTTCACAAAGAGTTTCCTGAGCAGCCCCTGCCCAGTCCTCCAGTATGCCAACCCGATGCTTATACTCACACATGTACTCTAGTGTGCCAACGCGACGCCCCAGCTGACGCAACACAAGTGGATTGTAGGTCTGGGCACTGCCAAAATCAAGGATTTTTACTACGTTGGTGGAGTTCACAATTATGTTATCAGGCTTCAGGTCAAGGTGGATGATGCGCCGTCCATGCAGATATTCCAGTCCTTGAAGGATTTGGGTTACATACCCCACCACATCGTCTTCTGAGTAACGGAACCTATAGGGATATACATGCAATTAAGAGGATGGAGGGGCTCCCTAAGAATCCCTGTACTTTTAATAACAACACTTTAGCTAAAGCACAATAACATTAACCTTAAATAACTACTTTGGAAATCTTACGGTATTTAATGAAGACTTTGATCAGTCATCATAATTCCTATTTTTATAACAGCTTTTAAAGCTTTTCTTGTACCAGTTATGTACACTTGTTGAACTGATCTATTCTTTATATTAAGCACCATACAAAGCCAGACTAAAAGTTTCTTTCTTTGTTGCTGACAGTGCCAAATTAGAAATTCACCACAGTCCTATTCACATACTTGTGGGTGAACAAATGAATTAATGGGGGGGGGGGAGACCCTGACTGTTTGTTATATTATGACAAAAATCATATGGTAAAGTATTGACCATATTGTCTTAATTTCCTTTTTTATTTTCAGTAATATGGCTATTGTGAGGATATGCTACATGTTAGTTTAGCATTCCCTCTATTTCCACTGTTCTAGGATAAGTGCCAGTGCCTGGAGCAAACCAAAAGGCACCATCCATGCAAAGGGAAGACTCAGCAGGAGCAGAGAAAACCAAAGATCTGTGGAACTATGTGTATGTTTTCAGGTGGGTGGGAGAGGGAGAGGGCGGGGCAGGGACACTAAGAACAACCCAAGGAAAATTAAATATGGTCAGTGGGCACAGAATGTTGACTTGACTTTTGGGGGCAGAGAAGAGAGGGAAGTGGGTGGAAAGAATAATACATGGAAGAGGAACTGGAATAGAGGTGGCGGGGAGAGAGAAAGAAGGCTTGGCTGGCTGGCACATCCAGTGAACTTCATCCTTCATTATTTTGTTGGACTGAATCCTACCCCCAGATGCTTACATGTTACCTATAACATGCATTCACTAATTCCAGAAGTGCAGGCAGTCACATTCTTTTTCTACATAGCTGAGTTAGGACCTTCCAAAATGCCGGTATGTCGTGTAATTGTCTAGTTTGGCCATACAGTTGAGCCAGCCCTGATTCCATTATATATGCATGCAGTGTCTTACTCTCCCAGGACCAACTGTCTCTGGAGAACTAGAAACTCAAAGAACGACAGGATACATTTGGAAGGTGTGGAACTTGGAAACCCAGTGGAACGCACCCGATAAAGTCAGGCCAAGAGAATGCAAAGTAAGGGTTCTGGGAGCTTACAAGTCAGGCCCTGCCTGCAGATGCTGTAGGAGATCAAGGGAAAGAGAATAATTCAAAGTGGTCAAATTGACTGTACCCATCCAGAATACAGGTGAGGGTATGTTTGAAAACTGTCTTGGCTTTCTATGAATCTCATCCACATCAGACTGGCATTTTCCCAGGTATGCAGATTCCATGGCAGATACACCAGTTCAAGTTTCAGTTGGGAAGTTCAAAGTGACATTAATGTACACATATGTGGAGTGAGGCAGGGGGCTAATATTTACAAAGGCTTGCTCTCAGGTATCTTCAAAATTAAATTGCACAAAAAATAATTTGTTATAGGAGCATTTGTTATTTCCTTTTTTGTTCCCCACAATGAGCAGAAATGCAAATACTCATAAGGAATATTCACATGGAGCCCCCCCACCCCAAATGGTAAACAATCTCTTGACTCTGCCTAAATATTGTGTCAGTTATTACTGGTTTTGTGAGCCATTTGCAGGAGGAGAGTTCTTTCTTGTTTCTTGATGCCCTCTCCACTCTTTTTCCCGGATTGTGTTATTTTGCCCCGAGCCAGCCCAGTGCTCCATCTGATGGAGAGCTTGCTAATTTGAATCACCGCCTAATGATTTTGCAGTTCCTCCCCACGCAGTCTAGTTCTGTATCATCAACAAAATCTAATATTTTGTTGAACTCATTAATCATAATATTGAACAGTGTTAGATCCATGACAGAATCACAAGGTTTTTGGCTGCCAGCATAAAATAAAAATAAGGGGCTTTGGAAAACTGTGTTTTATGCAGAATGCCCTGAAATAAGAATTTATTCTTGGAGTACAAGAAGAAATGTTAGCAGCTAAGCATAAACCCACCTGATGCCCACTGACACAACTTTATTCTATTATCATCATCATCACCACCACCATTAATGATCATAATCCTTTACACAGTCACATGTTTAAAAGATTCCTGCCCCAAAGAGCTTATAATATACATTTCAGCTAATGGATGGGGTTGGGAGAGCAATAAACTGAGTGGCGGAATGGAGGAGTAAGAAGTGACTTGCTTAAGAATCACATCCTAGGAAGTGGTCCTAACTCAGTAGCTACTTTTCAATCAAATTATGCATTTGTATGAACATTTTAGGTGTGACACTAAATATGTTCTCTAATGTCTGCCAGCATAGTATAGTTTGCTTTTTCCAGTTCTCAGTTCATGTTTGATTATAGACTAGATAGTGAGAGTGAATATGTTTAAATATTTGGCTCAAGTGGAATGATTGGACCGAAAACATTTTATTTTCTCCCAGGTCTCCCATTTTGTGACTCAGTGGTATAGTTTGCACTCTTCAATTGCCCTGAACTGAATAGCCCCAGGTATCAATGCTGGCATTGACTTCCAGGCCAGCTAAAGCTGGTTCAGACCCACAAAGTGACACCGACAATATTCCTTCAAAAGCTCTTCTGCCTTGGTCACATTTTTCTGCTTCTGTTTGTTTGCTGGTCTGTCCAAACTCAATTGCCTCATGCCTGTTCATTTTGGACACAGATCTTCTTTGCTACCACCCTGATCTCCAACCCTTCTCTACTCCATCCCTTCCTCCAGCAAACCTGTCAACAAAGTGATAGAGGATCTCCTTCCCAGTGCAATGTTCGGCTATCAGCACTAGGTAACGAGGGGTGATATAGGCCTCGTGCAGTGTCATGATGTGCTCGTCGTGCAGGCCCTTCAGGATCTCATATTCTTGCAGGATGGTCTGCTTGTTTTCCATCTCATATGGCACAATCTTGGCCATAAAGCGCTTGCCTGTGGCGTTCTCCTTACACTCCCGGATCACTCCAAAACGTCCTCTGCAAACAGACATATGGAGCATTATCAGAACATGTCAGGATGCATGCTATGTCTGTCCAGAAAAACTAAGGCACAGAGTCGCACCTAAAAAAAGAATGTATGGGAAGCAGAGGAACCAACTCTGATGTAGAACCAAGAGGTTCTGATTTCTCATGCAGCTTAACAGTGCTTGGGCAATTATCAGAGCAGCTTTGGATATTATAACCTGCAAGGAGAACAGGAACTATGAATTACACATCCTGTTCTCCACATTTCTATGTGATGTCCTGCTTGACAGATGGGAACATGTGTGAGCTCCACATGCAGAAGCAGGTCGGGCATCTCACTATGGAAGGGGAAATGCCTGAGCTCTGCTTAGGACATTACAAGAAATCCCACAGAATGGAATAGTTTGCACTTCCTGTTCCTCCCACACCTGGCACTGTTTTCAGGGTTTCAGTCTTCTGCACAATGGAAACCCTGACGGAGTCTCTAGGTAGAAAGCTGAAAGTGGTGAAACACTCCAAAGTCTATACTAAAGGTCTACAAATTAAAGAGGGGGCATGATCTTAATTATACAGTCTACCATATTAGTCCTTTCCAAGTCCTGCCTTCAGAACACTGAAATGCAAGTATAGGTTGATCCACAAGGAACAACTGCATATACAGTTTGGGGGAGAGGTAAAGCAGAGAGAGGATGGAGATCTTTTTCTGCCCTCCTCCACTCCACAATCCAGATTCATCGTTCAGCAGGTGAAGAGACCCTGGGAAACCTCTCCCAGTGCCCATTGTCAGGAGAAAGATGGCTGGTGGGCTTGGGCAAGCGTTCCCAAGAACTGCTAGTCACATTCCACATGCCAATTCAGAATCAGAAAATGAAGACTGTTTCAGTGAGACTGGGGAGCAGGGGTGGGCTCAAGGGTTGCCCTAAGACGCAATAGGAGGAGGTGATTATCTCAAGGCCAGATGCATTGCCTAGCCAGCTAGTTCCTGGGAATGACCAAGATGTACAGGAGGTGGTGGGACAGTTGGGGATGAGGGATTCTCAGACACAGACCAGTCCCTTGCCCCACACTTGTCCCAGTGGCAAGGCATCAGCAGAGACTGGAGACCCAACTGAATGTTCAGCCTGGAGACAGGAGTCATGCTCACCTTCAGTGAGTCCTTCCCAAAGGATTGGGCCCCAGGCATGCTCCTAAGGAGAGTTCCTGGAGGTTATCACTAGATTGGGTTCAACAAGCCACCGCATGCATGCTCAGAGATCCATTCTGAGTGATTTGTACTTGGAAACAATAAAGAATGTTTTGCAAGGAAAACACCCTGTGGTTGGTGATTGTTCGAAGGAAGACCCTTGGCTCCTGACACCCACGAAACTTGGTGGATATGGCAACATCTTCCAAAGAGTTAATGGCACTACCCTTGTCCTGCATAGGCATATGGGAGTTGAAAGAGGTTCTCGATCATTTGGGCACATAACACCCACGATATTTGATTCTGCCATATTCTGCCTGGCCTTCATTGACATCATTCTTCCATTGTGCATACTCCTGTCAGGGTTGCAAATATGTTGGCCCAAGGCTACTTGACCCTGATGCTAGGGTTGTGAAAAGCTAGGAACGTGACAGCCCTTCACACTGGGGAAGTGCAACCCAGATTCATGTGGATCTGCTGTTGCATAGCACCTAAGACTGGCTAAAGAGGTGCCATAACTCAGTGGTGGTATCCATGAGAAGGGTTTGAGCTCAGTTCATAGCATCTCCAGTCAAAAAGCTCTCTGAGAACAGAGATGCAAAAGTTCTTAGCACCTCCTGCAAAGGTGAGGAACCTTTGTTTACTAGAATAGATAATACCTGATATTAGTCTGACTTGTTCATTATTTATACGTTTAGGACCTGGCTACTTAAAGAACTGCCTTCTCCTGTATATACCAGCCTGATCACTAAGATCTGGGCAGGAGGTCCTTCTAAAGAAGCCATTCCTCAAAGAGGTTAGAGGGGTGGCAACTAGAAGAAGGACCGTCTTGGCGGACCCCCACTTAGGGAATGAGCTCTCAAGAGAAATTTGCCTGGTGCCAACATTACTTTGTTTCCGGCACCAGGCAAAAACATTTCTCTTTTTAGGTATTTTAAATTAAATAAATAACTGCTAGTTTTAATGTTTATATTAATTTTGGTTGTTCCCCTAGCAGTCTTAGTATTTTATGGTAATAACCTATTATTGTTGTTGTGATATTAACTATATACCATTTCTATTGTATTGGATTATTTTTATTGTTTTAATGAGTGTGCTATGTTTAAATATTGTAAGCCACCCAGAGACTCCATTAGGAGTAGAGAGCAGCATAAAAATGCATTAAATAAATCAATAAAGTAGCAGAGATCCCTTACCTTGCTTTTTCATCCAAAAAGGTATAGGGTTTTTGAGGAACCCCTTGGCGCAGCGAGGATTCATCCTTTGTAGATGATGTGGGCCTGCCCTGGACACCACTGCTAGAGTCCCTCCCAGGAGTAGTGCTCCGGCTCAGGAAGCGTGTGTGGGAAGGTGCCTCTTCTGTGATGGGAGTGAATGGAAGGCTGGGTGCACTTTCCGTGGTGGAGGGTGCCCTTGGTGGGATGGAGACGAAAGAGGTAACCACATACGGGACTGCTTTAGGGGAGATGAATGTTGGTGGTTCTGCTGTGGGGGTCTGTTTTGGAGAAGTGATAGGCCTGGAGACCAGAGAGGTTGGGGAGGATACCGGGGCAGGAGAGATCTTGGTGGTGAGGGAGACACTGTGGGTGCTGAAAGAAGGTGCATTCCTGGAAGGCTGAGATGTTGGCTCTGCTGAGGCTGATCCAGCAACAGTGGGGCCCTCAGAGGAGGGGACATCCTTGGATGATGGAAGGAGGGCTGTGATCGGGAGCTTTTGTTTCTCTGCAACTGCAGACTTCTCTTCAGCCTGAGTCACTGGTGGGACAGCAGGAACCTGTCCTTGCACTGGCACCATCCCCTTGTTCTTCCTGGGAGGAGTAGATGGCATGGGACCTGTGCTTTTCAGCACCGATTGAAGAGGCTGATCTGGAAAGGTCTGGGTAGATCGAGTAGAAGCTGCTTTTTCTGGGGCAGTGATGGTCTTCTTGGCAGTGACAGCTGAGTGGGCAGCCTTAAGTTCTGAATGGGAAGGGAGAGAACTAGTTAATGGCCACCATGAAAGGTGATCCACAACTTGCCTCTTGGGAAAAAACCATGCAGCGTTCTGGACTGCCATCCAAAGGCAGCTGCATCTGGGGTGGGCTAACTGCTAGAATTTGTCACTCCTGGCCAGTCAAGTACATGGCCAGCCCACTCCCATAAGTAACCATCTAGGCCTGGGACATGAAGAAGCAATAGATGCAGCTTGTTGAACTGCAAGTATTCAGTGCCTAATGGTGGCCCCTCCCTCCCCCATCAGCAACCAAAGGGGTTCCTGAGGAACAGTCTTACTCTGAGGGGAGAAGAGAAGAATCTGATTAAACTTGAACTCATGAACAGAAAGGAAAAGAGAAGAAGCAGAAGAACAGAAGACACAAAATAGGAGCAGACCAGAATAAGTATAGATGCACTGCAAACTTGATAATTAAGGGTACAATCAGAACCAGAGCAGATATTTTCCCATCCAACTGAACCATAGAAACATAGAAACAGAGCGAGTCAGAAGGGGTCTCCCGGGCCATCTAGTCTGACCTCCGGCACCAGCTGGCTCCGCTCACGACATGCCCACCATTTGCACGTCAAGAAGCACATCTCCCCATCGGGGAATCGAACCCTGGTCTCCCACGTGACAGGCGGGGATACTTACCACTATACTAACGAGGAACTAACCAGCATTGTGCTTTTTCCCCTCCTCCCTCCCAGTCCCTTTTCTTTAGTGTTATCTTTTAGATTATATGCATGAAGGTAGGGACTTACTACTGATACTTGTAAGCCACTCTGGTGCTTTTTTGGGATGCAGAGGAAATAAGTAAATCACAGAGACCACCTCCCTATTCTCACCTGCACCCTCAATGAACACCTTCCCTGAGGGGTTGCTGTAGGGGCCTTGTCCAGCCTTGTTGACACAAGCAACACGGAACTTTATGGTGCTCCCAGCTGGAAGGTCTGTGGCGTTGAAATAGCAGTCAGCAATGCCTGAGCCAACCATTTTCCATTCATGTTCTCCTGGGAGAGAAACAGAGACATCAGGAGGCTGGGGTGGGAGGCCCTTTGGGGCCAGAGCGACCCAGGGCTGTGTGGGGCATGTGTATTTTATTCATTGAACTATTTCTGTTCTGCCTTTCAACTGCTCTTATGTTTCCTAAGGCAGCTCACAACCACTGAAAAAATAGACAATCTGTAAAGGAATGAAGTCTAAGCCAAAAGAAAAAGAGGTGTTTAAAAACCAGAAGCCAGACATTAAAATCACAGAAGGTGGGAAAAATATACCAAACCAAAGGTACAGTGGAACAAAAAGTATTTGGCAGGATACTGAATCACCAATAAAAGGGGAACCAGCAGACCCTGGGGTAGGGAGATGCAAAATAAGTGGGAAAAGGTGTCCTTCAAATAACCTGATATCCTGGTTCCAAACCATTTGCAGCTATATAGATAATAACCAGCACTTTGAATTGTGCTCAGAAATGGTAATTGGTAGCTAATGAATCGTATTAGTATTAAATATTCCAAAAACAAGCCCCAGGCACAAGTCCATCTGCCACATTTTGCAGCTGAAGATTCTGAACACTTTTGAGTCAGCCTGGTATGGATACACAGCAGAACTAAGCAGGATTAGATCTGACCAGGGCATGTGCTGCCTTCTTGGGGCTCATTGAAAGGGGTAGTGAAGAGTCATCCCTTGCAGGAAAAATGGGCAAAGTCTTGGGAATACACATCACTCCAAAGAGATGGGGACTTTGGGTGTTGTCCTGATTCAGGGCTGAACCCATGAAGTGAACTACAGAAAATGCAAGGGAGCAGAGAAGGGAGACAAGGAGGCTATCCTTTTCTGTCTTGCTACACTATCAGCTCCTGAAAATGGGCAGTAAGCAAAGGGAGCAGAAGCTACTCATGTGAAGAAAACTGAATTCTACATATAAGCTCTGCACATAAGTAGCTATGCTACCCCAGACGGTCTGCAAGGAGCTAAGAGCTGCAGGTGAATCTCGTTAGAGGAAAGGACAAAAACAACTGACAGTTTTGCTACCGCATCCAATGGGTGCATACCATCCATCTTGCGCTCCAGCAGGTATGTGCAGGGTGCCTGAGTATCCGCTGGCCTCCATAGCACCAGAACTGTGTTTCTGTATTTCTGGGGGATTTCTGGGGTGCCTGGTCTCCCAGGAAGCCCTAATCCAAGCAGGGTTGAAAAAGAAAAATAAAGATACGTGACACAACACATAAAATATGTTCAGAGGCAGGCCCAGAGGTGTTTGGTTGGGGGAGTGGGGAAGACGCTCCTGCTGTTCTTACGTGCCACAGCAAGGGTGCAGGAACTAGTGGCGGTGCCCAGAACATTTGTAGCGTTGCATTCGTATAAGCCCGCATCCTTCTTGGAGACTTTGGAGATGGTAAGTAGCTGACGACCATCCTTACATGCCACAATGTTGAGAACTCCCTCTGATACCACGGTATGCTTATCTGTGGGGGATGGGAATAATGAACCATACAGCCACACTAGACACATCACCACAACATACTGCCTTCCATATGCCCCCTTTAGCTTGTGCTGTACTGCATCTTCGCCACACAGTTGGGTAATGCAGTATACAGGCATGCACGTTAGATCAGAAGTTGAAGCATCTCCCAGGTGAAACCAAGGGAATCCTGATCCCAATATAGTCAGAATGACCCTTCTGAGTTCCAAAAGCACCACAGAAATATGGTGGGAGTGCAACTCCATCTATCCGCATGGATGTCCTGCTACCCACATGAATTTTTTTGATTAATTGTTGGAACATCAGGTCTTGAGTGTCATTAGCTCAAAGAATTGCTAATGGGGTGGGCTAAAAAGTGAACCTGCTTTGGGTATTATCACATCATGCTAATTCGACAGCATACATATTGGATCCTAGGGGGCTCACCAGGTGGATGAGAATAAAAGTGCAGGACAAGCCCGTAGCCATGAGGCTCCCCCTTTATCATAGGAACTGATTCTTGAAGCCCAAATGCAGTGTACATAGTCTCCTCACAATGCATACATGACCTACCTTTCATCCACAGTATACGAGGGGCAGGGCTGGCTGCTGGAAGGCAGCAAAGTTGCATTGCCTCTCCCTCCAGCAGTACCTGGTCCTTCAGTTTTATGTGGAAAACTGGAGGGAAGTCTGAGTTGGGGGGAAAGAATAAATGATGTAAATTGGAGGTGCCACATGGTTGGTACCAAAAACTTGGCAAAAATGTTACCCTTATTACCAGGCTGGAAATGATCCTCTATATCAGGTGTGCAGAACTGCAGGCCTAGAGCAAGGGACACATCCATGCCACTAGTTTCCCTCAGAAGGTCACACCTCTTCCTTGTCCCCACCCCTATTCCTTGGGTGGCCTCCTGGCTTTTGCATAGCTTCTCCCACCCCAATGTGTTAAAAACTTGAAATGTTTCTCCTGTGCTTAGTTACTAGCTTTAAGCTAAGCTCTGCTGGCATTTTTGGTGTTTTGACAATGTCTCTTTTGCCTTTCTCCTGGTCCACCACTAGAATGCAACCCCTGAGACCTTATCTGGAATGGAGTGCAGCCTTACCCTGGAAGTTCTACCACTCTCACCCCATGCAGTTGGGTGAGAGAAAATGTGGAGAGAACCCTTCAAGTGCAACCCTTCATCATCATGTCTCCTTGGAATGATCTACTTCACTTGCCTGAGCAGTTGGTACTTGCTAGAAAGAGCAGGTCCAATTCCCCAAGACCACCCCGCTAGGATGAACTTTCCTCAGCGCAGTACTGTCCTGCCCAACACACACGCACACATCTCTGTAGGCATACCTGATTCACTGAGCACATAGGGCTGACTCACAATGACACCATCCCCTCTCAGGCTGGCAGGAATGTTGGGCTGCGATGCAACCCTGTCTTTCTTGGATCGGGACAAGCTCCAGCGTTCCCAGCGAGAAATGCGCCGGTGGCCATCCCCAGAAACTGTGGAGAAAACAGACATGGGCAGGCTCTTGTTTGCCGTACTGGCTTCATCTTGAGGCATGTCCCCAAGGTGGGATTATTTACTCACAGGTATGGCCCCACCACAGCCATAATAGCATATTCCACTATTCCCTTGTTTCTCTTCCTTGACCCTTAGTTTCACTTATATTTCTTTGGGATCTGGACCCCACAGAGGCAGTAGGCACGGAAGTAGTGAGGCCATCACTTTTGAACCCATCTCCCTTCCATACACTAGGATGTGTGTAATATAAAAAGAAGGATTCGTTTTGACATGTGCAGAGGGCTATGGTCACCCTGCTGAGAAACATCACCCAGTCTGCACACAGCCAGGGATATAGGGAATGATTTCTATGTGGAAAACATCTTCCAGGCAATCCTTTAGAAATTAAACCACATTACTCAGGGAAGGTTTTTGAAGTCACACAGTTTTAGGATGGAAACACATGCTTGTTATCAAAAAGAGATAAAAAAGATGATAGTCCTTAATCATATTTCTCCCTCCTCACTTGCAGGGAGGCTCTGTCTGTCCTTCAGGTCATAAAAATACAGCTGCCCCTGACCCATAAGCCTGCCTGTCAGCTCCTGGGCCCCTGCTCTGAACAGCACACTGGGTAATAAAGTGCCCCACAGAAGCTTTGCCCAATTTATATTGAAAAGCACACACTTTGCAAAAGGCCCAGAGCCACGTGGATATTCTTCCTTAACTCTACAAAGCAGTCTTCCACAGCCTCATGTCCTCCAGAAGTTTTGGACTGCAACTCCCAGCATTCCTGACAAGTGGCCACACTGGATGGGGCTGATGCGAAATGAAGTCCAGAGATCCGGACAACACCAGCTTGGGAGGTTGTGGGGGGGGGGGGCTGGTATAGAGGAACTGGTCTAAAACCTCAGGGGACAAAAGGCCTGCATAATATGGCTATTGTTAGGTTGCAACATTTTGGTTGGCAGGTTTTGTGGAGGGGGTGGCAGCTGGGGGCATATTTGAATGCTCTGTAGGATAAAATACTTGAATATACAAAACTTGCATATCCAACAAGTTCTAGGTTAGCCTTTTCCTAGAGGCCTGTTTTTTTAATATGCAGGAAATGCTTTTTGGAAAGCTTTTAAATGTGGTATGTTGCAATGCTATATCTCGGCAAGAAATGTATTATCTGCAGCTCCTGCTTATCTGCTTCAGCTCTATAATTGGAAAATTGAGGTGATGAATCCCTGCTCCCTCTCCCATAAACACCTGTTTGACAGACTGCCTGAAATGCCCCATCACCCCCTTCTCAGAGTTAGTTGTGCATCTTTGCTCACCATTGCCTGTGGATGAGTCAGACTGGAAGGACTCTGTGGAGGGAACATTAGCGGACTGGGCTGCCAGCTGGTTCTGTGGGATGCCCACCTGGCGCAGGTTTTCCCCCTCAGATGTTGCACGGCGCAGTTGGGAGAGGAAAGGGGCTCTCTTCTCAGGCTGCCTGGCGTGGTCCCCAGCAGTGATGGCGTGCTCTTCATCAGTGTGCTGCTGGGAATGGCTGCGCAAGTGTGTGGAGAGGCGTCCCATCGTGGAGCCGATCTTCCTGCGTACAGCCATGACGGGTGATTCACTGGAGCCAGGCTCTGACTGCTGGCTGTCCGTGTCCTTTTTGTCCTTGGAAGCCAGGCCCCAGGATAGCCGTCGGTCCTGGGCTGCTCCCCCTGCTTCGTCTTCCTTAACCTTTCTCCTCTCAGTGGGGGGTGTGCGGCGGAGTCGCATCGACATCCTGCGAATGAACCCCCCTTCTTTCTCCACCTCGTGCAGGTCTTGCACTGAACGAGAGCGCTCGCCCAGGTGCCGCGAGACCACAGACTTGGACAGCTCGAGTGGAGCCCCTGCTGGGCCCGGCCGATAGATGCCCTCTTCCCGCACCAGGGGCCCAGCCAGCCGCCGCTCCTCAGACCGGGAGAGCAGCTTGCGGCCCTTGCTGAGGGAGCCTTCCCTGCCTCTCTTGAACTTGGCCTCAAACACCTCTTCAGAATCAATGTCCACAATGTGCTCAGTGCTGGAGGAGTGAACCGGGGTGGAGGGTTCTTTGCCAGGCAGCTGGGCTGCCATCTTGGCAGGGACAGTCGTGTGGGATTGGATCTCTGCTGGCAGAATTTGCGATACCCCCTCTGGGGCAACCTCGGAAGCTTCCACTGCCTCCTTGTGTGGGACTGGGGTAGACTCGCCAGCCAAGGACTGCATGACCTCAGCGTAGGCCGAGCGCTTGGCTGCCGAGCTGCTAGACGTGGGCAAAATTGGCACAGGCGATGTTGACGCCCGTGAGGAGCCTGTGGTTTTTGCAGCCGCTGGAGTATCTGGCCTAGCCAGTCTGGAGGGTGGCTTTTCCTCAGGTCCCCTGGTGGCTGCTCGCCTCATGCTAGGCCTGGCAGTGGGTTTTGCGCCTGCCTCCAGCTCAGGCGTGGGCGGCTTGGAGGGAGGCTCATGCGGTGTGTGGGGCCTGGAGTCATTTAGAGCTGAGAGAGAGGGTGTCTCTTTTAGCCTCTGGGCCTCGGCCTGCGCCAAGGGGATTTCTAGGGGTGCTCCAGAGCGGCGGTGCAGCGTAACAGGCTCCCCATCACCCTGGCTGAAGGAGCTGCTCTTTTGCAGGAGGCGCCCTTCGGGGGGCAGATGCTGAGGAGCTGTCTCACTGGAGGCAGCACGTACCATTTTATGCCCAGGGGACAGCTGCTTCTCCAGCCTGGGAGGTCTCAGGGCCTTCTTCTCGAGGCCCAAGGTCTCCAGCAGGGGCCCCCTCAAGCCACTCAGCTTGCCATCTACCGGGCTTCCATGCAGCAGGCGCTGGCGCATGAGCTCCAGACGCTGGGCATACTCCTCCTCAGGCAGGCCACCCTTCCTGTGGTACAAGGTGCCAGGGCTGGGGCTGCGACGGGGCAACTCCATGGAAGCTGCCTTGGTCAGGCTTTTGCGAGACTGGGGCTCATCAGTGGGAAGGTTGAGCAAGAGGGCGCTATCTGCAGAACTGCCACGACGCAGCCCCCCCTTGCGTAAGGCCCTTTCAGTTGCATCTGGGGAGTCCAGACTGGACCCTTTCTTCAGGGCCTTCTTTTTTTCTGGCCTTTTCTGGGCCCCAGGGGCCTCCTCATCAGAAGAGCCGGGCTTTTCAGCCTCTGTGGAGCGTTTCCGAGGCAACATACCCTTCTGCCTCCTAACAGAGGGCTCTCCTTCTTCCTTTCTCTTTGGATCCACTGCAGCCCCCTGTCCTTCATCCTGCCACTCCATAGATGCACCCTCCTCATTTCTTGGAGCCCCGTCTGACCCCGGAGGCTCATCATCCGTTGGGATCTCCGTGAGAGACATGCGGGAACCAGAAAATTCAGGCTGATGGGGCATGGGAATGTAGGGCAACTCTTCTGGGTCATCAGAATCCGAAGATGACGAGAGTACTGATGTCTCCTTGAGGAGGCGTGGCACAGCAATGGACAAGTGGCTGGACGTGTCCTCCAGAAGCTCAGGGATAGGCCGGGGCACCATGTTGCACTTGTACCTGATTTGGGAGCGCTGGGAGAAATCACATATGGGACAGAGGAGCATAGGCTGGAGCGCAAGCAAAGACCCAGAGAACCCACATCCCACCCACAGTTTGCATCACAGGGCTTGGCTGAACAGCTTGCATTTACCTGCCAAATACAGTAGAGGGCCAAAATTTCCATGCAGCTGTTGCCTACGAGCCATACCCATAATACTGTCTGTGGCTAATATACACTCCCTATTATGCAAAGAAGGGGATGGATAGCAGCAGGAACAGTGATTAATTTGGAAATTGAGTGTTATTACTGTTGTTACACTGGAGGTTTGAACAGGAAAGGGTCAGGGGACCCAGAATGTCTGCAAGTGTTCGTTGATCTGTTGCAAAAAGTCCACACATTTCCCCCTGTCATATGCAGAAAGAGCAGTGCCCTTTATCCTGCTGGTTTAAACATCCCTGTCAACCAAGCCATGTCCAACAGACACCACCACTTATTCCATGCGTTCCCTGTTGGCTGCAATTGCTGGCAAATCCCATGCTCCTTGATGCCTGCATTGCAACTTAAACGGAACTGGTCATTCTCTTTGCTCCTGGAAGTCTCTTTGCTCTCTAGCCTTAAAGAAGAGTCTATTGTGTAAGTAGAGTGTAATGTGTACCTTCAATAAGCCATGCAAGTGCAAGTGCACATGCTAGTGAGCCAGGGAACTGGCTCCAATGTGGTATTGCAGAAATATATTAAACTCAGCTTCCCGTCCACAACTTCCCCATTATTCTTGGTTGGGGAAATTCACAAGCTCCAGCCAACCAACCAGCCAAGCACACCTCACCAGCAGCCACCAAGAAGAGTCTCGTCTCTAACAGCAAGTTTACCTGCCACTTCCTACGAGATATGAAGAGCTTGAGATGATCTGTGCTGATGCTCTTGCCCTTGGCCAGTGTCTGAAAGGGAAGGATGTATGAAGACAAGTTCTGACAGCTGGAAATAGCTGTTTTTCTTCCCTGCATATAGGGCAGAAGGCTGACCAAGCCAAAAGGAGCCTTGCCCATTTCGAGTTACCACTGGCTAGAGCAGGGGTGGAGGGCCTCTTTCAGCTCAAGAGCCCAATTCCATTCCAGAGATGCCTTGGAGGACTGCATTCCAGTGGGCCAAAAGCAAAAGGAGTGGAGTCACAATATAATAAACAGCACCGTTGTTTAGCTAAAAGCTATTTTTGCCAGTAACTAAGCTTTAGGGGAGGCATTCCAGCCTTTTAGAGTGGGGAAAAGCTGAAAAACCAGCAAATGATCAGCAGTTAAGTGAAAGGGGGCGTGGACAGCCATCTAGGGAACCCTGAAGAGATGGGCTGAGACCCCAGGAGGGCAGAATGTGGCTCAAGCACCTGTGGTTCCCCACCTCTAGCTGAGAGAAAACACCACCACCACCACCAAAACCAAGATGGCCTCATGGGTTTTCCTAAGGAGCCATCATCAAGTAGGCTCACCTTGAACCAGGGATGCTCCAGAGTCTGCTCTGAACTGGGTCTCCTATTCAGAAAGAAAAAGTTAATGTGTTGAAGGAGCATTGCTGAGCTTTGGGGAAAGTCATAGTTAGGGGCCCTTTCCCCCTGTTCCTCAACAAAAATATCCCCTTCCCCTATCCTCTTCCCTCGTTTTACCTTCTTTTCCTCATTTTACCGTACCTTGTTTCCACCAAAATCACTATGGCTTGGTCTGATTTCTTTTAGTTCATTTCTTTTCCCAAGCTTTTACTCAAGGGGCAGGTAAGTTAATGTCTTCCAGATATTTGGACTTCAGCTCCCATCAGCCCCAGACAGCAAGGGTTGCCTACAGCTAGTCTAACCAAAGAATCCTAGGAGCAGTTTTTGAACTTTTTAGGACTGCTGCCTGGCCCACAGCTTGGGAAACTTGAGATCACTCTTGCTTAATCAGTTTGGTTATATGGTAGTTTGAACAGGCAAGGTCTAAATAGATAAATCTAGAGGTTACTGATACACAATTTCCTGCTTGCTCCTGTAATAGGCAAAGATGCCAGAGCGAGGTCTCCGGTAATTAAGCTTGGGTTTTGTTTTTGACCCTCTTGGTAAAGAGTTTTCTTTCTTCCCCTATGAATACATGGGTTTCACTGACTGTGTCAGTTCAAGGGGAATGATTCTTGCATTCTGCCCCTTCCTAGCCCAGCAGGGAGGAGGGAGTGGGTAGTCCTCTGTTGTGGGGAGGGCCTCTCCCTACCCTTTGCAATCCCCCATTACTCACAGGCGATCATTGACTAGCACTTTGATAACAAAGCCTTTGGCCTCCCTTGTCAGTCCTGTGAACATGCTCTCCTCAAATGCCACGTTGTAGTTGCGGATGTTCATGAGTGTTGTCTTGTCGTTCTCACCCACAAATGGGGAGATCCCTGTGAGACTGGGAGTGGAAACAGTCAGGAAAGCTTCATCAGGCTCCCAGCAGGCATGTTTGGGACAACCTCCCTTCCACCCTCGTGCCTGCCCAGTGAGCACAGCTATAAACAGCGGAGCAGGCAAATTGACCGGGAAAGCTCTTTAAGGTTCCCCAAGGCACAGTTGTTCCCCTGGGGACAGTGAGGCCTGGCTCTGTGGAGGACTGAATGGGCCCCTGTTGTGTTGGAGCATAGCAGGGTGGGATAATCACTGAGGACAAGGAAGGGCCTTGGCTTTGCTCGCTGTGCCACCCATTCAGTGTGCATGGTGCAGTATGTGGGGGATGCAAAGATCCTGAGAAGTCCTAGCCCAGCTTCCCAAAACTGAGGCTTACCTTAGATATGTGATGACTCCTACTGGCCTGTAAAAGAGAGGAGAGAGAAAATTTCAGTGCTCTGAGAGCGCATCTCTAGGGCCAAGTTGTATGGCCCAAGCAGCATCTCTGCTTGGTGACCTAGAGAAGATGGCAAATGAGATAAGATGCCCCTGACCAGCAAATGGTGTGGGTCCATGAGCTCAGAGGGAGCCCAGAATGCCAGTCCATTCTTATATCTGGATGTAAGGCTAGCCTTAGGGGTAGGCACTGCTAGGTACCAGTTAAGGCCTGGACCACTATAGAGAGCTCACTGCCTCTGGAGCCTCCTGTTCCTGATTCCCGTTGCCTGTTCTCTTTTAAGCATCCAAGCAATGACCAAAATTAGGAGATGGAGCACCAGCCTGACTCCTGGGCTCTTATGCAGATTGGGCCCAGAGGGAGAGGGCAGGCAAGTGCACTTCAGTGGCTCAGAGAAGACACGGCACCATGACGAAGTATCTCTCAAACCCCAGAGCCAGCACTGCCTGCATTGTTCAGATTCGCCAATGCGCTTGAAGAGGTGAACCCAACTCAGAGTCTGGGACGCATTGCTGCTGTGTGCCTGCTGTTTTTCATGCAAGCAGGTAGTGAAAAGCCTAAGCCTGGCACAAATACGATTCAGTGCCTTTCTTTCCTGGGCATCCTTCAGCCCCAGAACAAAGCCACAGTGGTGACCACATGCCCTGTTCCCCGAATGTGCCCAGCGCTCAAGCTCAGGATTCCCCTTCAGCTGCCTGTGTTCAGGGATGCCTTCCAGGTCTGCACAGACTTGCATTGCCTCATGTTGGCACTTCTGCTTACCAGACATCAGTGACGCCGGAGACAGGGCTCTGGCTGACGATCTCAGGGCCTACAAATTCGGGTGTGCCGTACTTGCAGTACTGTGGCTCATCTGGAGTCAGCTCCTGGGCGTTGCCAAAGTCGCAGATCCTCACCTGATCACTGCCTGGTTCAGCCAGCAACAAGTTTTCAGGCTGCAGGGGGGCATACAGTGGAGAGGCATTTAAGGAGGTGCATCGGCAAAAACTGTTGCTTTGGAAAAAGGAGCTCACAACTGTGGCACGTTCAGAAGTGCTGCAGATACTAACCACACATAGCCATAACGGCCGCAGATTTGTCGGCAGGAATCTCTTCTCCAGAGAATTACATGCAGCCAACATTGCTTCGTTTGTCCCACTGAACTTACGGCTGATAAAAGTGTATGTCTAAAAGTATGAAGTTTACAAGAACAAGGGAAACCACTTCCTCCACAGACAAATTTCACTGTAGTTAATCTCCATTGTTGCGTAGTAGGAGAAAGGGTCTCAGATTACTGCTGCTTTTTGCTTTTTCACCTCCTGCTTGAGACAAGAGCTCTGCAAGCCTAAAACACTTTCTTGGCAAGCCACCTTCCATCTGCTTGCCAATATGCTTGAACAGTTTGAGTTTCTACAGGGGTCAAAGATGCTCCAAGACAGATGGACGCATTCCCTGCCTCGAGGAACAACCAGCTGACCCTTCATGTTCCCTTCCAAATCCAATTTAAGCTATCACTTTTCATCTTATCCTTGCCTTTCACAGCCCTTGAATGCCCCCTGCAGCCTACACCCCAACCCAATGGATAGCTACAAATGAGTGGTGTGATTTCACAGCTGGATCCAGGTTGCTGCCATATTTATTTATTTATTTATTTATTAAAACATTTTTATGCCGCCCCATTCGCCGAAGCCTCGGGGCGGCTTACAACATAGATAAAACAATAAGTTAAAATATCCATATAAAATAATCTTAATTAAAACACACATTATAAAATAAGCCGCCCTGGCCAGATAAAATTCAATTGTATTTAGCATTTAAAATGTTGCTTAAATAAAAAGGTCTTAGCCTGGCGCCGAAAAACAAATAACGACGGCGCCAGGCGGACCTCTCTGGGGAGCGCATTCCATAACTTAGGCGCCACCGCTGAGAAAGCTAGGGTCTGCTTGTATGTGCAGTTGTTCTGTGAACCTCATTGAAGTTACTGTATTCAGGGGCTACACTGTCCCTAGGACTCTCAGCCAGCCACCCCAACATATCCTCCACTCCTTCAGTTCCCACAGTGATGATGAAAGTAGATTCTGTTTGAGAATATTTTGTGAATACTCAAAGGTTTGAGAGCAGGACCTCAGGACCAAGGGTCAAATCTGGTCCTCTGGGCATCCCGATCCCTCCCTCCAAGTTTCCTCTATCTGCCCCCAGTGCCCTTCCCATGCTCCACCCCACACTTTCCCCCAGCTACTGATCTTTCCCCCAACTACTGGTGGTTTTCCTGGCTTTTGTGCATGGATGCAATGCTTCTCTTCAGGCTTAGTTACTGGAAGTCAGAACCTTAAGCTAAAATATTGTCTGTTTTGCAAAAGGTCATGGCTCTTAGGCTACCCTTAATTCAGCAAAAACGGATGTTTCAAGTATAGTGGGAATCACTGCACCTCTTTGATAACAGCTTAATTAAATAGGCCAATTGCTGGATGTTCAATGCTGTGAATGCATTTCTTCTTCCTGTGCTTTGGCAATGCCCAATAGCAGCTTCTTTGAGGAAGGAGGTAATAATTCAGGTAAATTTTGTGATAGGAAGTTCTTTAAAATTCAAGGAATTACATGTTCTTTGGAATTACCTACCCAACTTTTGAATTTTATTGCAACGTCAATATAACTAGATTTCCCAAGCCCTTTTGACAGGTAGAAGACTAGTATTACAACTCAGGGAGGATAAACAGCTGCCTTAGACATAATTTACATATGAATAAATATATGGATATCTGCAGTGTCTTTGTTGAAGTCCAGGGAGAAATACAGGGAGGGAGAGATACACAGGCAAAATGTTTTGCTGGAACTCTCCTGTGTTTTGCCAGTAATTTGTACCTGTCCTTTCCTACTTATCATTCTTATGGAGGCATGAACCATGTGTTACAATTTCTAATGGATAAGTGTTTTTGTATTGTCCAGTCTCCCACCATGCTGGCAAAAGCACAAGAGACACAACCAGTACCTTTCAGTGTCTCTGCATCTGCGATGGCAGCTTTCACTAAAAATTATTCCACTTCGCTGAGGATCATATTAGCCACTTATGGAACTGCACTGTGCTATAACTTCAGCCTAGCAGGATTGTGGTCCTGTGCAAAAGAAGGGGCAGGCTCCAACACAGCTGAGCCAAATGCTCAGACAATATCAATAAGCCCCAGAGATAGAATGCAGGCATGCCAGGATATACTAACCTTAATGTCAAGATGCAAGATGCCCTGATGGTGAAGGTATCTGATTCCCTCCAGGACCTGCCGCATGTAGGAGCGGATCTGTAGGGATGGTAACCCAGGGATAAACTCAGAGGCAACAAGGCTTCCAGTTGGCTTCCCATGCAAAGAATGGGGGAAACCAGAGCTCCAGTTCTTACCCTGTCATGGACCTGGTATGAGGTGACATCAGTAATACAAATGACACCCAGCTCTACCTTTCCATTTCATCAAATTCAGCTGAATCCATGGAAGTGTTGAGCTGCTGTTCAGGATTAGGAACAGACCAGAGAATGACAAGCAAAGTGAAGCTCAGTCCAGACAAGGCAGAGGTGATGATGGCAAGTGGTTCCTCTGACCTAGGAAGTGGTGTTCGGCCTGTTCTAGGTATCACTGCACTCCCTCTGAAGGATCAGATTCACAGCCTGAGGGTGCTCTTAGATCCAGCCTGGTCTCTGGAGCCCCAAGTAGCCTTTGTAGCACAAAGCACCTTTCACCAGCTGAGGATGGAGTACCAGTTGCAGCACAAATCAAACTGTTCATTGTACCCTTCAAAAACCCAAGAAGACCCAGGCACTGGGAGCTTGAAGGACCACCTTCTCCCACACAAACCAATGCAAGCATAAGACTCTCCCTCTGAAACCCTTCTCCAGATCTCCCCACCAATGGAATGAGGTGACCAGAAATGGGGTCTTTTCAGTCATGTCTCCCTGCCTTTGGAGCTCTCTCCCCAGGGAGGGTCCCAGACTGCAACTTACCTCAGATTCGCTCACGGAGGATTTCCTTGCTATGCGCTCCAGCAGTTCATCTCCAGTGCAGCTATATAGTCTGTCAAGGGAAACAATGTAAGAAGATGCAGTAGCAGGTACCTATGGCAGAGGGCACTCTCCAGCATTCTAAATTATAGGTCTCCTGGACTGTCAGAGCCATCCATTCCACTGCAAACAAACAAACAAACAAACCCTACCACAACAACCCACAACAATTGCCTACTGCTCATCTCACCAACTCTCAGAACCAGGTTCCACAAATGGAGGAGGAAGGATACAGCTCCATGACAATGATGAGGGCATTCCTCTTTTCAAAGGCATCATGGAAGTAGACAATGTGTTCATGGTCCAGCTGCGCCAGGATGCCGAGCTCACGACGGGCTGATTTCTTGGCTTTGGCACGGCATGGGATGAACTTGGCAGCAAAGGCCAAACCTGAGCTTTTCTGGGTCACTCGTCGCACATAAGAGAAGGCCCCCCTGGGAGACACAGTGCAAGTCATCAAGGGAGACATGACCCAACCATCTTCCTTGTTCCTTCCTTTGCTTTCCTTAGTCATGGTCACCCAGCTCTGAACTCAGCCCAGCCAGTCAAGGGATGATCAAGATCAGAAAGTCATAGGAGGTCATAGGCATTATCTAGAAAAGAACAGGTCCAGCCCCTGATATTGGGCGGTCTTCAGTAGGAATTGTTCATAAAATTTGACCTGAGAGAGAACCCTACACAGAAAGGTTCCTCTCCAATGTGTCTTTTCATTGTTAGCAAAACTAGTGTGGGGTAGTATTTAAGAGCACTGGATGGGGACTCAGCAATCTGGGTTCTAGTCCCTGCTCTGTCATGGAGCCACCTGGGTGACATTGGGCCAGTGACAGACTCTCCGCCCACCTTACCTCACAGGGTTGTTGTTGTGGGGAAAATATTGAAAGTAGGAAGAGGAAAAATATATAAGCTACTTTGAGTTCTTTGAAAAGAAAAAAGGTGGGATATACACCTGAGAAATAAATACATAAATACATAAATGTAAATAAAGGAGAGACTCTGTCACAGTGGAACACAAGTAGCCACAAACAGCAGTTCTATTGCTAGGGCAAATTACAGTGGGCCAGTTGGAGGACACTGCACTGTCACCAAAGGGGAGTTCTAGAAGTGAGACAAGGCAGCATATTAGGGGTATCATGAAATAACAAACTGTGATATCATTTGATTTATTATCATGATATTTGTACTACCCGAAACAGGGAGAAGCGTTTGCCAGGTCTCATCCCTCTGGTACCAAAACAACCTGGCTTGCTTTGGCTACTATGCACCTTAGCTTGGAGGGCACGGGGGCATCACTTGTTGCTCAGCCTCGGACAGCAAAATGTCATGGGCTGGCCCTGCCACGTGAGACTTTGCTGAAGTTCAGGAATAAGAAGTAAGGACAAGAGAAGCCCAGCTTCTCTCTGTGCCCTTCCCTATTTGAGGGTGAGACGTGATTGCTTCCAGTCCAGTTCTCCCAGTACATAAGCAAAACTGGAGAATGAGCAAGGCCCCAGCAATGCTTCTGCAAGTGCTGCGGCGTGGCTGGAGAGTCTATCTGTCCAGCACCAACAACGAACTGCATCCCCTGGAAGCCTGGCCCTGATCAACCCATGAGTGAATCCACGCTTGTAGAACCCACACTAATTCTGGCACACTCCTTTCTTTGTCGGATGCTTGCTTCCCACTTCCCTTGTGGGCCCCCTCCACAAAGAAAAAGCCCCAGCTGACTTCTCTCACTGAGGATGTTTCCCTGCTTTCCTCACCGGCCAAGCTCCTCATGGATATCATAATATTCGGCCAGGCGGCGGGCTGTGTGTGATTCTTCCTCTGCTCGGGCAGCGTCGGCATCAGGCACAGCTGGAGAACAACAAGCGACAGAAGTGGCAAGGAAGGAGAGGAGTGTGTTTGTTTGCAGCCCAAGCCCATGACTCCCCCCGGCCCCATTTCTCTTCTGTCCCCCTTTGAGCTTCAACCCCACAAGTGTCACATTCTTTTTGAGTTGCCTCACAGACCAAAAACTCCCCATGACTTAGATCAGGATGGCATGGATCATCGTTTGGGAATCTATTAGTAAGTATGTTTGGGCTTGAGCCAGGAACCTCATAGACTGGGGCTCAAACTGCCTCAGGACGGGGCATAGCCCAGAGGCAAAGCATGAAGAAGGTCCCCGGTGCAATCCCTGGCATCTCCAGGTAGAGCTGGAAGAGACTTTTATCTGAGACTGTGGAGCACTGCTGCCAAGTAGCATGTGGACAGTACCAAGCTACACGGTTCAGTGGTCTAACTCAGTTCACATGTAAGAACAGCCCTGAGTAACAATTGAATATGGGTTTAGCATGGGAGAGTATGGATTGTCACTGAACTGTCATTACATGCAAACCCTGCATTATGGTTTAACTACAGGCAGTTAACTATAACCAAGTTAAGAGAGCCTATGATTTGTTACTGGGTTATGAACTCTGGGTTGCTTGTGGTTAACAATCCATAGTTATGCCATAGTACTGGATTCACACATAGAAAACCCCATGATCCAACAACAACCCACAATTCAATGGTAACCCACACTCAGCCTGTATTCTGGGTTGTCCTTACAGGTGAACTAGGCAGTTTCTGCTGTTCTTCCTTCAGCTGAGTTCTAGTTTAGTGGGCCACCTGGATCTGCAAGGTGTAGAGGTGTGGAAATACCGTGATAGCAAACAACCCTTGCTTTGGCCAGGATCACCAGCAATGCTGCAGTGGCTTGTCCTTTTGCCCTTGCAAAGTTACAGGAGCAGAATCTTCTGCCTGCTTCACTAAAGCCTCCAGGTTCAGCAACAGACCTCAGGCACACTGGGCTGGACAGCACAAGCTCTGGGAGCACTGAGAACTCTAGCATTGCCCTGACACCCATCATGGCTCCAGTAGCCAGCATGGCCTGGCCTGTGCAGTGCCCAGCGTGGCCTACAAGCAAGTGCCTGGTGGCTCTTACGGCTAGCAAGGCGGCACATACCTGCACGAACAACCAGCTCCGCCTTACAAGACACCTCTCCAGCCAGGTTGCGTGCTGTACACGTGTAGACCCCGCTGTCCTGCTCTGTGGTGTTCAGCACAACGAGCGAGCATTCGCTCTCCTCGTACACAAAGCTCAGGTGGTTGCTTTCCGTCAGGAGCACTTCATCCTGTGAGGTACGTGTTATGCAGGCAAAGTACTTGCAAACATTGGACTAGGCCAGCTTGACAGATGTGTTGGACCACAACTCCCAGCATCCCCAGGCAGCATGACCTATTGGTCACACCTCAGCCCTCCCCCAATGCCACCGCCACACTGGCCATCATCCCCCACCCCCCAAATAGTTGTTTCCTGAGGAGTCTGCACTTCACTGCTTGGGCTTGGGCTGACTCTCTAAAGCTGGCCTCTTCTTCTAGCCCGCGTGGCTCTCCAGGGGGCCTGCTGCCCTTTGAATCACCCTGAGAGGAACCTCAAGGCAAGTTGGAGGGCGGTGGGCTGCTTCAAAGAGCCCCGCCATCCATTCTCCCCGCAGAGCATTTGCCTAAGGGGGGACTGGCTGGCAGGGGTTTCCTTAGCACCTGGCACACTGCAGCCTCAGGTCAGGAGCCACCTGGGACCCTCTTGGTGGGGGAGGGGAAGCACACAATTCACCTTTCTGCCTTCCTTCCTGTCTTCACTGCCGCCTGAGCAGGGAATTCACCCCGCCTCATAGAAGGGCTGGCCTTGCAACAGTGTGGCTCTCCGAATCAAAGCAGGGAAGGCACTTCTAAGCACTTAGCCACTCAGACACTCCTGATTTGAGCCATGCCAGATGAAGGAAGCCTACACTGAATTAAATCTGAGGGGCATCAGCTGAGTTCCCAAAGGAGCATGGCTGGCACAGGATGGGCCCCAGGGGTTAAAACTGAGAGCCCCCGACAGGGAGGGCACAGCCAGCAGCCCAAGTAGCCTTCTAGGGGAAACTTAAGGACTTTCTTCAATCACAGGCGAGCCCAGCAGTCCTCCCAGACCTGGGCCCACACTTACCTTGTACCACATGATGTCTGGAAGGGGTTTGGCCTCCACCACCACAGCAAACTGCGGTGTCTCACCTATCCCGACTTCAATGTCTTCCATGATCGATTCAAAGCGGGGTGCCTCTGGGGATGGAAACACACACTCTGTTGAAGCAGAGTTAAGCCCATTCCACTCCAACAAACCAGAAAAATGTCATGGCCCAGCCTGCTGGAGGAGCTGCCGACCTTGCTCCCCCCACCCCGCCTCTCGGAAAGGCCTTCTCCTCTCTTCACTCTCTGGTATTGTGACTTACAATTTGCATGAAAGTCTCAGGTCTGTCCCAACTTGCAGGAGCAAGAAGCTCTGCAAACAGACTGCTGTACCCCCATGATGCATGGCACCCCCAAATTGTGGGAATGGGTTGAAGAGAACTCTATCCTGGCCTTCCCCAACTTCTTGCCTACTGGCTGATGTCTGAGGGATGCTGGGTGGGGGAGGGCTCTTCTAGCCCAGTAACACCACAGTAACAGAAGGATATAGGGCACGGTCCTCAGGGACTGAGGATGAAGGTGGAGCTTGTGGGGCATTGTGCGTGTCCCATACCTGCCAGCTCCAAGCTGATGAAGCAGTGGTCATATCCATGCTGGTTGCTCACCTCGCAGGTCATTTCCCCCACATCCCCCTTGCCCACCCGAAGGAATCGCAAGGAGTGTTGGTCATCATCAGGCATGCTCATCTCCCAGCGGGGGTCACCATCCTTCAGCACCACACCAGCCCTGAGAGTTATGAGGAAGAAGCACGTGTGATATGAGGTTATGGATCCCCACCTCACACCCTGCAGTTGAACCTTTCCACATTTCACAGTACGGGTTGTCCACCATGATGCCGTGCCAATTGCCTTCATGGCTTCCAGCTGCCCCAGAGGACAGAGGCCTGGCCAACTGTCCCTAAGGCTTCCTATCAAAGCCAGGGGCCTCAGCAGCAAGTATGCAACTACTGTCTCTTGAAACTAAGCCCCCTGTTGAGAAACCCCGCATATTTCATGAATACTTCTTTCTTGCACTGCTTGGAAACAAAAGCACCAGCAGCAAAATAACTTCTAAATGAAGTTATAAAATATAAAACAATTCTCCATACATTGTCTCAGTTAAAAAATGGTGATGATGGCTGTCTTACCCAGCTTTGTTTCTCAAACCCCTCAGGACAACTTCACTCCCCCGCCTCCGTTGCATAACTGAGCTGTTTTAATCACAGTATCTCTTAAAAGTGTGCAAACCAATTGTAAAGTGATGTCTCAGATACGTATCCACAAAGGAGCCAAGACTCCCTGATGAGTGTATGAAAAAGTATGGTGCTATACTGGTATTGGAATCAAATTGTCAATTAAATTACACTTAGTGGCAAATCCATGTGAGAAAAGGCCCTTTGACTGTGAGTGCTTTGCAGGCATAATGATACTCAAATTTCTGATAATGTTATAATAACTCACACTGTGCTGAAAGAATGTGGCAGGCTATGAAGAAGCAAAGTAATTATGATATGGAAGTAAGTCAGAAACTCAGCTGGGAGGCCTCTGTAGGACAGGTCCCTTTCTTGCCTTCCCACTGAATCTCTTTCCCCAAAAGCATATAACAACTGATCTGCCAAACTCAGTATCTTCTCAACACGGCTACCATCTGGGAGTCTGCCCTGCAACTTGCCAGCAGGGTTGTGAGCTGCATTTAAGAGTATAAGTTGGCAGCTGCCCTACCTCCTCCAGGTGACAGCAACCTCCACGTGGTTGAGGGTCACCGTGATGCAGGCTGGCTGTCCCTCCACTGCATACACCACATCCAGTTTGTCCAAGATGACAGGGGCCTCTTCCAGGTAAGGACCTGCAAGTATAGGCACCATAGCAAGCAGGATCAGGCCAAGGAGGTCAGTCCGCTGCTCTAGACCTCCAATGGGCTAGGAGGGCTGGGGCTGGAGAGAGAGAAGGTCTAGTTCTGAGCAGCTGGGTTAGAGTCCCTTAAGCCATATCAAGCAGAATTCCTTGTGGGGCTCATTCTAGAGGCCATTCCCATGCATTATCTGACTTGTACCCAGACACTGAGCCCTGAGTCATATCCCTGAGCATTATGTATGTGATCTAATACAGGGTCACAGGTCAACTTTTCCTGCAACACCTCTATTCATCTCTAAGGTCCATTGTCACAGAGAAATCCACTGAAAGTCATGGAGAGAGAATCCATGGAGGAGGCACTGCCAGATCCAAAGTCCTTCCTGGATCACAGTGGTAGGACAGGAGAGGTGGGGCTGGAGGAAAAAATAAGAACACACCCCTGAAATACACCTTCTGCCATTAACACCACCTGAGCACCGGCGGCAGAGCATCAGGGTGCTGGTGATTTCTGTCTCCGCAATAAGGATGCTTGTGAAGGTGAATTTTCTTTTCCATGGGCAAAGAGGGAAATCCACTCTGTCTTACATTCCCTGGGAGACCCTCCTACAGTCTATTGGATTGCAGCCTTGGAAGTTTTCATGAGGGGGCAAGTGCGTGGCTTGCATTTGTAAAGTATGGTGCCATAATGACATTAGAATCAATTTGTCAACTTCAAACAGAAGATCCCTGTAAGGCCTAAATTGCAACCGTGCAAAAAAGGAAACACACAATTCCCACAGTTTGCACACTAATCAGAATGTCAAAAGAAAATGCCATATTCCAACACTGATCAGAAAGCAATCATCTTTTGGAAGACCCTTTCCTGCCTAAACAGGGTGATATGCAAAATTTCCCCTGTTCCATTTGTTGATTTCTGACACACAGAATGTTGAAGAACATTGTTTATTTTCTTTTTCTAGGTTTGGACACTCTAAAGGAAATTTTTAAAAGTGTTTGTTTGTTTGGAAATGTATATGCTCCCTTTCAGGATGAACCCCTCCTAAGGCAGCTTGCAACCATCATTAAAACAATATGAAACAAGTTTGAAAATGCTTATCAAAGAATCTAATTATAAAACTAAAAACAGCAGCACATTAAAAGCCCAGCATAATGCTTTTAGTAAAATTGAAACAGAAACAAAAAAGGTTTGAAGGTCTTTTTAAAGCCAACAAGGAGGAGGCTATGCATATTCCTGAAAGAGAAAGTTCTAGAGACATGGAGCCACACCTGAAAGGCCCTAGTGTCCACCAGTCTGCCAAACCTTTCAAATATCCAAGCCCAGTGTAGGAACAAGTCCATGAGGCTTTGATGCAACTGTTAACATCGGCTTTACTGGCTTGAAAGGAAAACCTACTATGCTCCAGTTATAGTGGTTATTGCAGGTTTAGAACATCTTGTTACTTTTTTCTCATATAAGACTCCCAGAGTTGCAGAGAAACTCAAAGGGCTTATGAAATGTCAGAAACGTTACATTTCACAAAGGAGCAATCACAAAGAAGCCGGAGGTGGCAAGCAGTTCCCTCAGAGAGAAAACACGCTTGCCTTTTTTTTCTTGCCATGATCTCTGGAGAAACTATGACTTCAAATAGATTGGGCTTTTAAGTTTTGGAACTGGGTCTTCAGTAGACCTGGCAGACAGGTATAACCCCAGTCTAGAAAGGAGCGAAGTGTTAAACATGCTTCTAGGTCAGAGTTAAGCAGCCTGATGTCCTCCAGATAATTTGGACTGAAACTTCCACCATTCCTGCCCATTGGCCATGCAGGCTGGGGTTGATAGGTATTACAGTCCCAAGTAGCTAGAGGGCCATAGCCATGTTCCCTACCCTCATGCCCAGCCTTTCCCACCTCCCCTTTTCCTGCTCTGGAGCCATCTTACCACGGTCAAGGAGCTGCACAGGCTCCGTAGGAGGAGAGGGCTTGCTGTTGGCCTTGGCTGTGGCTGTGAGTACACGGAACATGTACCGGATGCCCTTCTTTAGAGACAGAATGGTGTAGCTGGTCTGACGCACACCTGTGGCACACACGGTCCAGTGGCTGCTACCCAGCACCTGCTGCTGAAGGGTATAGGTCATGGTGGCAGGGTCTGAGAAGAGGAGAAGAAAGAAGTTCCAGCAGCAGGCCAGTGGGCTATGAATGTCCATGCCAGGCTGGTCTGCCCCATGCCTCCATGTTAGCATTTCAGGAGTCACGAGACAGAGGCGTACCTTCAAGGCACTGAGATACAGCTGTCTATGGAAGAAGCTAGAAGATAACTGTCCGCTGTATGATCTCTTCCATTAAGCTAATTAAAACATTTAGGTTACTGTGAATTTGGTCAAAACAAGTAGTTTGTAGTCCGTATGATCTGCTTGAAGTACATGGACAACACTTGATGAAATCTTTAGGTAGTGGGGAAAAAATTCTGGGAGTTAGCTTTATTGTCCTCCTTCAAAGCCGGAAAAAAAACTATGCAAAACAATAACCATTATGCCAGGCATTTCACAAAAAAATAGGCTTGGCACAGATTTATTTAGTCTGGATTATTGCTATGGGCCATCAGGTCCAGTTTTTCTTGGTAGAGATATTGGGGGATAGGTAGAGTGGATACAGCCTTGTTAATGAGTAGTCAGTGCTAAGAGAAAGACATTTTCCTCAAAAATTGTGCGATGCTGTCATGCACCCTTGTCTGCCAGCACCATGCAGAGCGAGTGGGCTGCAGAAGACGTCAGTGGCAGCTGTCAGTTAGCGGAGGCTTCATTTGCCACCAAAGCACCAGATTGTGTAACAGCCTGCCCAGCGACAACTCACAGTCTGTTCTGCGGAGAAAACCAGTTTGTGTGGAATGTCAAGCACTCTCTCAGATCACCTTGCCTTATAGAGGTGCAGAATCTGGGGGCTCCGCATTTCAAGACCCCTGCTTGGCACCTTCAAAAGTTGCCTTCTTCACAGCCCAGTCTCCTCCTGACTTGCCTCCCCTGTTCTGCTTACCAATAGCTGAATCCAGCCACTTGGGCTTGTTCCATTTCAGCGTGACAGCTCGGCCTGTGACAGCAGCGATGGTGGGTGGCCCATCAGGGGGGGTGGGCACCACATCTGCAAGAGACAAAGCATAGAGACTGAGCAACGGGGGCAAGGAGAGAGCTATGCCCTGTGTTTGGGGCAGAATCACCTTTGCCTCTTCACCAGAGGCTCTCAGTTGTTTTTTTAATTAGTGAGTGCTTATGCTGCTTTTCTGAGGAGTTCTATGACCCCAGCAATACAACACAGTCTCCCACATAAAGGTCTGGGAAATGGAGCCCTGAGATGCATTTAAAATGTCCATGGCTGCATTCCGTGCTCCATAGGAAGATAGCTCAGTGGTTGACTGATCTGGAACAGGCCTTGTCTGCAGACCTTTTCACACATTACAGTATCAAGAGCAAGCTTGCCCATAATTTGTAATGTGTGAACGAGACAAATAAATGTTTGGAAATTAGTGGACTAATACAGTTTTAATCATCAGAGACCTAGGATTGCCTGCAGCTCCCTGCTGGGTGTGTGTTTCTGCTGTGGCAGCGGCTGTTGTATATCCAAAGCTTTCTGGGTGGTATAGTTAGTGGTTAACCCACTGCTGTGCTGCTGGGTAATATGTGAAACAGCCCTGAACATTTCAGATGCATCTGAGGCATTCTAGCGACCTTTGGGCAGCAGCTGTAATTGGGAATTACTTCCCTGGAAGGAAGCTCCACAGAACATAGTGGGATTCACATCTGAGCAGATGTAAATAGGATCGTGTTTTGTGTCTCCAGCTAGGGTCCCTTATAGAAGACAGTCAGAGCAAAGAGGCAGTGACACTCATGTCCTGCTCTGGGCACTCTGTTTGCATGTCCATCCCAGCCTGAGGGAGGTGACACCATGCTGCTGCAGAGGGTATTCCACTGCAGTAAGAAGGTGCATGCTTAGGCCAGAGTTTGCCAACCTGGTGCCCTCCAGATGTGTTGGCCTACACCTCCCATCATTCCCTGCCAGCACAGCTGGTAGCTGAAAAGGAACTCTTTCCCCAGTGCTTCCCATCCTTACCTGTGACATAGAGGTGCGCATAGCATGTGGCCTTGCCCACTTTGTTGGCGATGACACTTTTGTAGACTCCGGCATGAGCGTGGCTGACAGAGATGAAGACCAAGCGATGCACATCCTTGTCTGCAAAGGACAAAGGAGGATGCAGGAGCGGAAGGAAGAGGGATTGGGTTTCCATCTTTCAAAAAGGAGCAGCTGATCAGGGCAGGAACGCAGTGAAACTGGCATGCTTTCGGGAAACAAGAGACGTGATGTGCCATGTGTGTTTATGTATGGGGCGGTGAAACCTGCCAGGTGCAGTCGTAAGGATGTTCTGACTTACATAGGTTGGTCATAGGTGAGGGCCAAAGTTAGGGATAGGCGGAATCAGAGGCGGTGTGTCTGCGTACCCCAGTTGCTGGAGCGCTTCAGCAGCAGCGAGCGAGCCGTTTGTGGGCTCCGGCAGGCAGCTGGCTAACCTTTGTGTGAACAGAGCATTAGACCAGATGAGCCCTTGGCCCAATCCAGCAGAGCTGCTCCTCTGCTCTTCAGAGCAACAGCCTGCCCTTGCACCCAGAGCCACAGTGCTCTCAGCTGTCACTGATCCTGCCACGAGGCAAGACGCTGCAGCAGGGTCGGGCAGTAGATTTTGAATGGCAGAAAGAGACCGACCGAGCTACTCTCACTTGGGCACAGACTACTGCATAAGCCCCATCAAGGATGTCTGGAAGCGACACGAACTCAAGCTCCTGTTCATGCCAGTGGGGCTTCTGCCGCAGAACTTCCCAGTGGATCACTCACATGCCGATCTGTGAAGGGAAGAGTGGGAGCCGGGGGGGATTCCCTGCTCCCACCAATGCATTTCGGGCTGGGCCTGCCATCGCTGAACTGTCTGCGGTGAGGAAGGGTTCGGTGCTACCCTGACCCCAGCGGCTGTTTTCATATCAGGCTTGGTGCTCCAGGAAGGCATGCTCAGCCCCCTGCTGTGGCCGACACATCTGGCCCCTGCAGCTTGCCTCTGCCAACTGCTCACTCGCCTGCCCTTTTGCACTAGGCCACAGGGAGGGGCATCGCGGGGGCCAGGAGCAACAGCTGAGGACAAAGCTAAGAAGGAGCTGGCAGGTCCTTTGATGGCCCCAGAGCCATCAAAACCCTAGAACCATGAAATCCCGCTCCCGTATATGTGGGAAGCCCAAGGGATGTAGCCTACACTGCATCATCCTGCGGTCATCAGTGCTCTCAATACGCCTGCCGTTGTGGAACCAGGTGATGGTGGGGTAGGGCAGCCCAGCCACTTGGCACTCCAGCACAGCCTCCTTGGATTCTACCACGTCCAGGTCATGCAGCGGCCGCAAGAAGTCAGGCATGGTGAAGCATTCTACTTCGGTCTCCCCTTGTTCGGGCTCCTCAGGGATCGATGGCATCTTCTCCAGCTTGGAACTGCAAGAGGCAGGGGAGAGAGTGAAACTGCAGGGGTCAGCCTGGCCATGGGGCTGCACTTCTCACAGAGCCCACAAAGGATGGCCAGAGCAACAAGCAAAAGGAGTCACCTCTCTCCTATGGGCACAGACAAGCCATCTCCATCCACACGCCCAGATCACGCCTCACAGGTTAGGGCTGAATATATATATTTTTAAAGATGTAACAGCCAAAGACTAAAAAACGCAGGGCAGTTCTTGTAAACACTCCCCAGAGACAGAAAAAAGCAGGAGGCAGAGAATTTGGAAGACCTTTTGTTGTTAAGAATGGGAACTCAAGTTATCCCAAGGGGGCTGTGAAAATAATATGAGACAGGTGCTGCAAGTAGTGGGAGAGGGACAGTATATCCCTAAATGCTTGGTTTAGCAGCTAATATATGGAGATTATCAACCACAAAAGAGAAACCCACCAGGAAAAGTCAGCCAAGGAATAAATTTCTCACACACAGCTTTGCACATATTTTCTGAAGTGCACAGCACCCACCAAAGTCTATGCCAGCATAAACTTATTATTATTACATTTCTTTCCTACACTGCTCATAGCCTAAGCTCTCGGGACAGTTCACAAGATTTAAAGTCAACCATCCAGATTTCAACCCAGCCTGACCCTGCTTAGCTTCCAGGATTAGGCAGGATCAGGCACTTCAAGCTATTTGTCTTTGATGGTTCCACAAGACTCTTGGGGGCAAACGACACTAGGCATTCTTGGAATGCCCGACTCCCTGGCTGCCACATCATTCTCACCTCATTCCATCCTCTGTGCTCTAGTCCTGCTGTAATGTCCTGTTATTACTAGTTATAGCTCAGCATTTTCGCATATTGTCGGTTCACCCCAATATGCGTATCAGTGTGTGCTAGACTTGCAATATTGTCCCAGGGCCAAGAAGAGTAATTCCAGCAGGCTGATGGCGGGAGGATGTCTCCTACTGCACTTCAGCGAAACAGCAGCTAACGGAGACCCGTGGACTGCTCCCCGCACCCCGCAGCCCCTCTCCCTTTCTGTGACTCGCACACGCAATGCTGCTCTTCCCCGATCTTCTGAAGCCTTTGCGAGTGTTTCTTTTCTCCTCTCATTCAACGTGTCTACAGAGAAATAAATTGGATCATTTTCAATGGCCTTACTCCTGAGTAAATCCCATTGACTTCAGTGGGAGAGCCCACATGGGAGAGGGGCTGCCCTTGCTTGCTTGCTTGCTTGCTTGCTTGCTTTTCAGTGGAAATGAATAGGGAGCTGGTCCCACTGGCTTCTCCTCAAGGCGATTGGTACAATAGAAGCAAGCAACACCAACCCTTCTCGTTCTCCATAGGTGTTTTTTTTTTTTGGGCGGGGGGATGAGAGGCCAGAAAGAGCTCTCAATTATTTCTTTTTCCTTTACAGAAATATCTCTGACAGACTAACAGACTAACAGCAGACTAACAAACAAAAGAGCACAAAAACAGTATGAGTCTAAAGAGGCATTTCCCTGTATGCATCCCCTTCCCACCTTCTGAGCTTCTGCAGTTGTACTTGTGTGCGACCCAAGCTCAGCATCTCAGCTATGCTGCATTCATTAGCCTGTGCCCCAACCATGCTGACTGTGTTCTGCATGGATACCAGGACTGTGCTCCCTTATATATGGAAGGAACTGTCGTGCGGATCTCTCCTAGGTTGCCTCAGCAGATGGGAAGTGTAATAATCTAAGAGTGCAGCCTTAGCCAGAAAGGAAGATGCTGGCTAGGGCATGCTGGGAGCTGTAGGCCTTTTTTGCCTAAAGATGCATAGGATCGCACCTTCAACTGGGGAAGATCAGCTGTTGCATGCAGTCTTGGAGTGTTAGTAAGCCTGTAGCTAGAGGGGCAGCTTCTGATAGACAACCTGCTAGCTGCTTTAATTAGTTAATGTATTGCACAGAACCCACAACAGTGCAATAGCTTCAGAACTCTGCCCCCACTTAACAGGGAAGGAAAAAATTGCCTTTAATTAATGTTAAGGAGTTGGTGCCATCAAGTCAACATCCTGGCTATCTGGATAATGTGTTCCATTGTCCTAGACAGCCAGATAACTGCCTGTTCGTATGCAGTACCAGGGATAGCTTGTTATTCTCCGCTACAACTGATTAACTCTCTTGCTTCTTTTTTGTATATTACATGTAATCGGTTCAAGTGGCCTTAATATAAAATGTCTCTATTTTGTTGCTCATGTTCCTAGCTTCAAGCACACTAATTATAGCTGCTGATGCATCAGGGAATCTGCTCTGAGGAGAGAGTGTCTTTCTAAAACCTGGCAAGGGAGAACAGGAATGGAATACCCTGAGGAAGTCTGTTGTAGGCTGAGAGCGAAGCCCATTCCCTTGTGGGCTGGGAGACCCCTCTGTGTGTTCGGGAGCCATTCTCGTTGGGCAAGGAGCCAGGCTGCGCCTGCATTCCAAGGAGCTGCACATGCGCTCGGGTCAATGAGAACAGCAGCTGGATCTGGTTCTCATGCACGCAGAGCGGTTCCCAAACATGACTGTGCGCGCGCGCTCTTGTTCACTCCCTGTTCAGCAAGGGATGGGCGAAAGGCCATTCCTCACTGACATGTATCTGTAGAGCACGGCATTTAAAACCTAAGTGAATGCTCCATGAGAACACCGTCCAGGTGTTCATTGTCTAATATTAGGGCAGAACAGGGTAAAAGAACACACAGGGTATATAAACCAAAGAAAAGAAAAAACTTTCACCCTTTGATCAAGGGGATTTAATTCCCCCACCTCCGGTCTTAAAAGTGCCTCAGAAAAGATGGAGTACCAGATTAAGGGTGTGAGCTGAATTAACAGCCCATCAGTATCTCCAAATTAGTGTAGAGTACAAAGTGGGGTTGCCAACTTTTTTTTCAGCTCAAGGGAGGACTCCATTTTGAAGAAGCTCTCAGGGGCCACATTTCAGGGCAGGGCGGTAGGGCTGACCCTGCCATGAGGCGGAGAGCAGCAGCCAATGCTGTGGGGCTGAGGCAGTGAGGAGTGGAGGGCACCACTAAATGGGGCTCACGGCCTGGCCTAAGCGAGCCTGCTGCCCTCGAGGGAATGCCGTCTCTTGACAAGCATGAAAATAAGATTCAACTGCTACCTCTTGTGGACTGATCAGAGAGCTTCAGCTATCGGGTGGTATAGAAATGAAATGAAATAGAAATGAAACAATCACGAGGAAAATGGTAATGATAATAATAGAATCATAGTAGAGTTGGAAGGGGCCAGAAGGCTGTCAGGCCCAGCCCCTCAGTCTGATGGGTTCTAGGCACAGAATGGGGAAACGCCATCTTGCGCTTTGTCTCAGGCAGCAGATTGTCTTGGGTCAGCCTCGCTGGACACAGCTGAAGGCAAAAGGAGTGGCACTCTCCACTTCAGAGTAGGGTAGAAGATGTGAAAATGTTGGGAAACCACCAAAGGATCAGTGGCTGGGGCAAAGGGATGTAACTCCAGGCAAGCCAGCTTTGGCCTGGGGGCTGATGGTCTATGCCCCTGCGGAAGGAAATACCCACATGCCCATAACTGGCTGTGTCTGGCCACTTACTGGGGCCTTTTAGCCACCGGTTCCCTCTGCCCTCGCTCCTCCTCGCACTCACATCTGGGAGCTGGCTGCTGGACGCGGCTCCTCCACATACAGCTCGGCGGTGCACTCTGCTCGGCCATGCTTGTTGATGGCAGTCACCCCATACTGACCCTCGTCCTTGGAGCTAACGTGCAGCATGACCAGAGAGTGCAACCCTCCATCCCGCAGCAGGCGTGCTGTTTCCCCCTCTTGTACAGGCTGGCCTGCATCAGAAACAGCACAGTCAGAAGAGCTTGATCGGGAGGGAGGGAGGGAGGGAGGGAGGGATGGAGGAGGGTATCCACAGACTGCTTCAGCCTACGAGAAGTCACAACCCCATGAGTCAGGGCCTGGAATTGGGTCAACACGGTGCGGTTCTGTTCTTTGGAACACCAAAGGAAAAGGAAAGCAAGAGCTCACCAGCAGGATGTGGATAACAGTGGAGAGACTTCCCTTGCGCCTTCTTTACCTCCGTGAAAGGTAGCTAGAAAGGCAGGCATATTGAAGCTTATGGCTCAGAAGCAGCTCTGCTGTATTTTGCTACACAATGATCTCACTCTGAATGCATGAGACATTTTTTAATCAGCAACTTGCAGGCAACCTGGTGCCCTCCAGACATTTTGTACTACAGCTTCCATCGGCCTCAGCAAGCACGATGAATGACAGGGTTCTGGGGGCTATAGTCTTAAATATACTTCCACTGTAAGTAGAATCTGCATTGTAGATCAACAACAGCATTACATCACCCAGAACTGAGGCCATGCTTGAAGCTGAGAAGTGCAGAAAGGCCTCACTTTACTAGGGGTTCACTGTCATGCAGCAAGACTTGTCTAAGTGTGAGGGAAACCCTACAAAAGCCTCGATAGATAACTGATGGGTAGAGACACAGTGTCATATCCTAAACCCAACCAAGACAACTGCTCTTCATTTCTTAAATAGTGCACTTGACCAGAATTCTGGTTCTGATTTCATCTCAAGCTTATTGGTAGTCTGGTCTCCCCAAAACTTGTTGCCAAGGTCTCCAAAAAGTGACACCAGCTGTGCACAGTTTGACCCTGTTGCCCGCTCTTTCTGCACCACCAGGGTGAGCAAGAGCCCTACGCTCCTCAGAACACGGGATCCCATCATCCAAAGTCACCAGTACTGGAGAGATGGGGCTGTTACCAAAGCGTGTCCAGGTGATGGTTGGTGGGGGTTCTCCACTGATCTTGCAGTCAAACCGCGCTGTCCGTCCCTCCACCACTGCCACAGCCTCCAGTTTGCGGGTGAAGAGTGGCTGGCGTGAAGGCCATACCGTCAGCTTGGCACTGCATGTCAGTTCATCTGTAAGGCACAAGGGATAGTCACCTCCCAGTACAGGATCCTGGAGGAATCTCCCCTTCCCCTCTAAAAGGCTCAATGGGCCAACTGAGCAAGGAGACACTGGCCGCGGTCTACCACACGGTGGTGGTGAGGTGTACTGTACATACATCTACACACATTTTAAGTGTTATGCAAGCCAGTGCCTTTTCTCATTGTTGATGATGCTTCTTCTTTTGGGGTGATCCATGTGTAGCAAGCTGGTTGTGTGCCTAGTGTGCGGTGGTCCTGGCTCGGTTGTAGGAATCTGAGGCCAGAGGGAATAGGAGGGAAGCTCTGTGGGTGGAGTGTTAGGGTATAAAGAAAGAGAGAAATTACGAAGGTAAACTGCTCCTGCTCCTTCTGGATCCTAGGTTCACTCCCTCAGGGTTTTCCCTGGCTCCTAATATCCCTGATGCTCCTTGAGATAGCTATGACCATTAGATCTTAGGGACAAGAATCACTTGGGCAATTTTCTCTGGCTCTGTTCTCAAACATTTAACTACACATTTCCTGACACACCAAAATGAATCCAAGGAAGCTTCTCTGCTCAGTTTATGTCTACCTCTGGAAAAGTTTCACCTGCTACATTTCCTAATGCAGCAATGTTAAGGTGCTGATGAAACAGAGCAAGAGAGAGGAGACAAAATGCCAAGCCTACTTGCAATACTTCTCAGAAACAGAATTTAAGAGTCCCTTTGTAAAGGAAGGCCTGAGGCTTGCCTGTTTCCTTCCCCACTCTTGCAGCAACATCTTTAGCTCTCTGGTTCTGAAGTTAATCATCTGACAGTGCTGTTAGAGGATGCACTTAAACAAGACCATGAGTGGAAAAAAATGCAATTATATGAATAAAAGGCATTTGTTTTCCTACAGGACTCTGACTCTGAGTCTCACTAGTAAACAGAACTATTTATGTATGCATTCAGTTAAAAAGTTTCTGTGACATTCCTTCATCTCCAAAAATGAATCCAGTGCATTCTAGGTGACCCTTCTTATTTTCTGACTCCTGATTAAGTGTGGAGGCACTGAATTGGACTGGGATTGCTGTACCCTGGAAGGGGAAGATTAAACTCCATGCAGTTCTTTGCTTCCCAAAAGGCCCTTCGTCTAATTATCAGCTACAGCTTCCTAAGGCTTCTCAGCATCCAGGAAAATATATATTGTAGCTACAATATATAAGGCCTCTAATCCCCACATTCTAGGAATCACTGTATTTTCTACTTTATAATGAATTGGGAAGGAAAGATAATTTCCTGGATGGGAGAAGAGAGGAAGTTGACGTCACTTGAGTCTAGAATGAAAACAGGGCCAGTAATTTTCCAGTTGTCTTTTGCTGTAGAAAGGGGGATTGTATGAAATGTGAAGGATCTACCACTAAAGATTCCCTAACATTTCAGTTATTGAGCAATCTTTTATTCCTTTATATTTGTTGTGGACTGCTCCTTGTAACCGGGTGCATTGAGAAGTCCAAATTATTTCATTTTTGCCCGCAGTGGGTTCACAGGTATGACAATTCAACCTGAGCAGCTAGCCATAATGAGTTCTTGTGTCAGGGCATTTAGCTCAGGGTGGCTTCTTTCTCAGCAAAAAGTCCATGGCTTTCTGCAGGATTGTGCATGTACATGTTGGAGTTTTGGGTCATCCCGACCTGAGAGACTGATTTTATGGTGTGTCGCCACAAATAGCTGCAGATTTGCATACCTGCAGTGACCGCTTTTCTTTCTGAAGTACCAAGAGAGTCAGGGGAGTGTTGAAAAGGTGGAGGGCACTGAGAAATGTCAGTTCGACACTAAACAGTGAGAAGATCATATTGCCAAGGTGGAGATGTATCCCTCCCATTTGGTGAGCTTGCTGCTTTACTTCCCCTGCCCCATATTTTGGTGCGTTCAACTTGTGCTACTTCCTTGTACTATTATTTCTCCTTCCCTCCTTCACAACTGTGCACAAATTAGCAGATAGGCAGCCTTATCTGGTCAGTTTTCTTGTATGTCGCCTCCTTCACTCCCAGTTCCCTTGAATGCTTATACAGAGAAATTGACCAGGCATATGGGACAGCCATGAAAGCACTCTTGTACGCCTGTAAAAAGACTGACCAAAGTAAAATTGCAACCCCGATTGTGCATTTCTGAGGCTCTGATTAATTAAAAATTAGAAAGGTGAGGAATGAAAATGGGTGGCAGTCAGTATGAGAGAAGACTTGGGCAAGGAGACAAGATGGGTTCTGTGCAATGGTGCCCAAGACATGTGCCACAGCCCGTGGAAGGATGGGGAAGGCAGGGGAGGACAAGCCCATGGAAGGCCAGTTGTCTATCAGGTGTCCCATGGGTTCAGTGAACAACCCACACTGTGTAGCTTGGTAACAGGGATGGCTTTGTGCGAGATGCAAACCTGCCCAAAGTATTCAAGACCTTCATCAGAGGTAGGCACCTGAAAAGAATGTTTCACTGTGAACAACCCCTCCCATTTCCTTTTTCTCTATATCCTATTTTAATTGATCAAATCCATGGTTGTTTATTTTCCTTTGCATTGGATAAGAAACACTGCAGGGTATTTAGGAAACACTGGACTGAGCTGAACTTTCGTGAACCATCTGTAATGCAGAGCATTGTGATGTCCTGTCACTTGCTTTCACGACAAAACCAATCACAAGCAAGGATAAGTCTACCAGAGCTTGACATGCAATAAACTGTACATGGATTATGATTCCCTCACCCCGCTCCAAAGATAGCTGCTCTTCTGCCACTCCCATCCATCCCGCCATCTCCAGATGCAGCTGCTCTCATTTGCAATTGCTCCTGAAACCTTCAGAGGTCGCCACCATATTAACCTGTTGCATCATTAACCACAGAGACTTTTGGTACCTTAAAAATTAACACATCTATTCCTACACAGGCTTCCATTGCACCTGTCAGATGCATCTAATGAAATGGATGCCCATTCAAGTTTTTTCCAAAAAGAATGTGTTAGTCTTCAAAGTGTCACAAGACATGGGTATTTTTGTCCCCAAACCTGCTCTCTTTGTCCATGTTCCCAGGGGACTCCCCACTTCTTGTACAGATACATTCATGCACCAACACTCAGAGATGTTAGCTTGCTTTCTTGCATCCAAAAGTGGGATGCTGTTGCTTTGTTGTTCATTTTGTTTTCTGCTTTTTAATCAGACCCTTAAGTGCTGCCGGGTATGAAAAAGAGGGCCGGCTGCTAAAAAAGAGTGGGGAGAGTTTCAGGTACAGTTCACAAGCAAACCCATTACAGGCCGTACAATTTCCAAACCATTAGAGGAATCCCTCCAAATCATTGTGAATCTGTGGTCATAAGGATGAACTCTGAAGGAACAGGTTCCTACACCCATCCATCAACTGGTGCATTCCCTCCCCAATTCTAAAGCAGAGGTGGGTAGATTGGTTTCCAGATGTGTTGGACTTAAACCCCCAGCATCCTGGCCCTTGGCTGTGGTGGCAGGGCCTTTTGGGAGTTGAAGGCCAACAAGCCTGGGGATCACCTTTCTGCTCACCCGTTCTCAGCAGTTGACATGCCTCTCCTCAAGCCTAGTTGCTAGCAGTAAGAGATTTGGGGCACAATGCCAGGCCTGCTTAGAGCTGGGGAACACTAGGAGCAGTAGGGGGATTTTTTCTGCCTACACATCCTTGTGTATTCAAGCTAAAATATATGGGTCCTTTGGGCCCTGCTTCTTCTGGACTGCTCTCCACCCCCAAACTCCAAAACTGGATGCAGCCCTCAGGTGAAAGAAGTTCTACAGCTCTGTTATAGGGTATGGCTGTCATTTGCTCGGTGCTTTAGCCAGGCATATTTGGCTCCCTTCTCTGAATGTCGTGTGCAGTCCTGGTAACAGGTGACGGTTTTTCCTCCACCCACTTTCGCAGGCGGGTGTGTTGTTTGTGTGCATGTACGCGCGTACACAGAGCTGTGGGTGCTCCCTCGCTGTGCACAAGTGGCCTATTCAATCCAGTCACCCACACAAGGTATTTCGCTGGCTGAGCCAAAGGACAAAATAGCACCCTCAACCTCAGTGTGCAGAAGCCAACTAGATCTACTACGGAATTTACTTCAATGCATGAGAACCGAATAGCATCCCTCACTAAGCTGGTATGCTCTTGAAGTACCGCACACCAGCTTAGGCTGTATGGTGCACCAAACTCTTGCGCTCACCCCATTCTTCAGCATCTGTTGCTCAGGGGCTGCCTCACTCTACCTCGTAAGGTTGGCCCTGGCCACACAGACACGTGCAAGGTCGTCTGTGGAGATGATCCCTGGTAGTGTTAATGTGTTGTATTTCTTCCTTCTCCAGGGCAGTGTAGCTGCTTGTCCCTTGCCAAAGGTCTAGGAAGCAACTGACCCAGCCAGCCAGCCAGCCAGCCCTCCTCTTGCCCTTTCCCAGTAGCATGATGTGGAGGGACAATGAAGTGGAGCCTTTCTGGGATAATCACCTGCTCAGCTCTGCTCCTCAAATTGCTGTTAAAGGCCTGCTGTGGGGGCTACATGACAAGACAGCGATCCTGGTTGCGAGCATCCCTGGCTTGTCTCAGTGGAGTCTTTCTCCTGAACACCGTGACCTTGGTCTGTGCAGCACTTCTTCCTACCTTACCTTTGACCGTGCTTAGCTTGCATGTGTAGATGCCACTATCATCCTCATGCACAGAGGTAAGCAGCAGCTTGCACTTGCGCCCATCGAAATGCATCTTGCACTGGAGCAGGGCAGGCTGGAGCAGGCGCCCCCGCCAAAGCCAGTCCACATCCACATCAGGTGGGCTGGACACCAGGCACTCGAAGATAGCTGCATCCCCAGCCCCCACCACCACGTCCTGCAGGGGAGCCAGCACGGCCAGGGACTGGGTTTCAGGGTGCACTGGGGAGAAGGAGGGCAAGGGAGAAGGAAATGGAAAAAGAGAGAGAGATGCATCTCTGAGCAATGAAACGAAACCAAGAAAGAATGCAGGGCACAAGGTGGGGTAAGCATGTAGAGGGAGGCACGGCTAAATTCGGTTGCCAGTGTCCTGCTGACTAGCATTCTCAGCATGTGTCCGGGGTGAGATGCCCTCCCTGCCCCTGCAAGCAAGCCTCATGCAATGCTTTGCTGTCTTTGGGGAATTTGCTCATAAGGAAGCTAGCCCAAGCTTGGGTTTAATTAGTGGTGACTGGCTTGGAGCTGCACACTTTACTCACCGTATTTCTGGCTACATTCAAGGTCTACTCTGCAATGGAATGAGCACAATGCAAATAGTAATCCAGAACCTCTGCACTCTTCCCAGGGTAGGACTGAGGTGTGACTCATGAATTTCCAGCAAAAGCTGTGTAGACTTACTAGGGAAACTGACCTTAGGGATTCGATATGCAAGGAAATAGGAAGCAGATGGAAGTATGTGCAATGCACACTTCCTTTTTGCTCCTAAATCGCAAACATCTAAATGGCTGCATGGCAAAATCTGACCCAAAAGACCCTAGTTCTCGTGTCAAAGCAGGAAAAATGATTGCAAGGACTAAGCCTACCTCGCAAAAGGAGTATGTCTAGTTCTCCAGTGATGTCCTTCCTCCACCCAATAGGGAACCACCAGCCTGAAAATTTCATATTTCAATCTAGCAGGTTAGAACAAATACTTCTGCTTGTACTCTATTCAACACTTTGACAAAATATTGAAGACTGAGCCTTATTACTCCCGTCTTCAGTGTGAAAGGCACTGAGCAGCTGCTGAAGTGTGCTGCAGCTGGAATGGCTTTCCCCCCACAGGCTGGCAACCTGTTAACCACCGCGACAGGAAATGAGTGATGGGAGAGCGGAAGGCAGCCATATTCAGAAGCAAATTAACCTGCATGAAAGGAGGGTGGGTGGTGTGTGGAGAACACAAGAGCGGGATATGAGGGTAAGAAGGGGACATGGGGGAAAGAGGAGACAGGGGTCTGTGCTAGGAACAAACCACACAGCACTTTTACCAAACAAACAGACTTTATTTCATCTACAAAAAAAGGGGTTCACTGTAGCCCGGCCCCTTTGAGACCCTCCCAGAGCAGGTGACACAACTGTGATAGGAGAGTGCATCCCTGACCTCCGTTAAAGATACTCCATAGCCCAGAAGGTTTGAATCTAGTAGGCTCCCAACTATTTCCCTGAGCCATCCTGCGTCCCATACAAATCTGGGCGAAGGTCTCGTCCCAGGGAGTTTGTGCTGTCCAGGGACTTGGTGCAGACAAGATTGCTGCCTCCTGCAATGCTGAGCTACGTGGTCTTCTGCCCAGAGAGAGACCTTTGTGGATTTGAGGGACAGCAAGGCCCAAACGTGGCCTGTTCCTTCCAGGGCTGCCCCACTGCAATGTGTAGGTGAACACAAGTCTCTGGAAAGGCTGGGCAGGGAGAAGACAAACAAGTGTTCAGCCCTAGGCCCCTGGAAACAGGAGTGTGCAAACAGGGGCAAGGAGACATGGACACATGGCGGGAACAGAGAGCACCACACATTGGCCATAGTTCAGGCCAGACAGAGATGGATGCCGGCACGGGGATTACATGCCCCTGGCACCTAGAGGTGTAATGCCTGGTGCACAGGCCTGGGGCCCACCACTGAGATTATATGCCCTCAAATAGTTCACAGGGAGGCTTCCTGCCCAAGCACTAAGGGGATGCCGCAGGTTAGTTTAGCTCACGCAGCTAAGGGGAGCCCAGAACTCCTCTCCCACCCACTGTGTCCCACTCCCTCAGCTGCAGCCAGGCCCTGTGGGTCCAGGTGAGTCTCAGCGCTGGCCATCCAGTAGGTGGGGGCAGGAGCCAAGCCTTGCCAGCCTGGTTTGTTCAGTCACGCTGGGAGCAGAGGAAACTGCCCAAGTTGTCTGGCTAGAGTGGCCCGGGGGCCAGCAGTACCTTAGCTCACTCCCCCTGTACAGACAAAAACACAGTCAGCAAGCAAAGGGTTAGTGTGGCATGGCCAACACAGAGGCAAAGGACAGACAAATTCACACATGCCTGGTCTAAGCAACAGATGTGCATAGCAAAGACACATATGTAGAAGCTGCCTCACAAAGCAAAATGCATTACGTAGGAATAAGCGCACTCACATTTGCCCGATAGTGTCCCACTGTCCATCTCAAGCAGGCCCACACTGACACCAAGCAGAACCAATCAGGCTCCTCTTCCTATCTGGGAAACCATGCCATCTGGAAACACTTTGCAGATCCAGCTATCCCAAGAATGGAGCCTGCAGGTACTTTCCATTCAGGTTCCTGCAAAGCAGACTGTTTCTCCTTCCCCAGGAAGATGACTACCAGATATCTTTTAGTCAAGTAGGCTCAAAAATGTGGACATGGTTCTTGGCCAAGTTCAGTTGTCCACCTTCCCACCTCTGTGCCTGACCCTTGCCCATCATGACTTACTACACTGAACAGGGAAATGTACAGGGGTTGTATAGGGGCTTGCAGATTGCATCCTGAGAAAGAAGGTGGCATCAGCCTCCTAAAGGAGGCAGTAAATAGGTCGCTCCTGAAGAAGCTTAACTTAGACCAAGAAGACACTCACAGCTACAGGCCAGTAGGCAACAACCCCTTCTTAGGTAAATTGCTCCAAACACTCTCAAATAAAATAAATTTGCTGCATCTATTTTGCTTTAGTTTCAGGCTGGCTTTTGGAATGGAAATTGCCTTGCTCACTCTGTGAGCTTATGAGAAACTGCTAAACTGAAGCAAGACTATACCATACACCAGGGATGAGGAACTTGTGGCTTCCAGGTGTTGCCCAACTCCTATAATCTGTGAGCATTGGCCATGTTGGCTGGATCTGATGGAAGTTGGGGTCCAACAACATCTGCAGGATGTAGGTTCCCCAGCCCCACCTTACAGCCTCAATCATCAATTGCCATGAAAATACCAATCTGGCTTCTTGCATTCCGTTCCACTTCTGTCTACACTGCTATCACTTCGCCCCAAACCAGGTATTAGTGGGTAAAGTGACTAACATCAACCCACATGATTGTCACTTCTTTTACTTGAGTTTCATAAAAGTGCCATCAGTCACTGAAGTGCCTATCACTGAATTAACAGAGTGGGAAGAGCAAGACAAGCTGAACCAAATTTGAGAGCAAGGAGGGGGAAGCATAGCAGGCTGTTGGGGTGGGGGCAATTGTTTTGGGAACTTGCATTTCGCGTGATACTGCTTGTTGCTCTGGTGGAGCTCATCAGGTTGCCCTTCTTTCCCGTGTGGAAGTTACTACCATGAAAAGATTCAGAAACTTACTTTATGGGAATGTGAGAGGAGTACATTTGTACATAAACCGCAACCAGAGAGCCCTGATGCCCTCCTTAATGGGTTTCCATCTCATCTCTCTCTTTTGCACAGACACTTATGCCTTCTTTCTTCTCAATTACCACTCAGCAGCTGCCATTTTTCAGCTCAAGATGGAATGGGAAAGGGTTAATTACACACGGCAGCTGGTGTCTGGTTGCTAAGCAGCAAGTGAGTTTTCCTCTTTCCATCTGGAACAAGCCTCTGGTGGACAGAAGAGAGTGGCAGGAGAAGTATATGGAGGACTTTCTGTGACTGCAAGATACAAGAGTGAGTCTAGCTGCTAAGAGAACAGTCCTACTACAGTCCTGCACTTGTTCACCAAGGGACAAACTAGAGCCATGAGTCTCATTTCCCTGATTTCCTTTAATGAAAAGAAGATGGAATTGGGAACAAATTAGCAAGGTGGGAAGAATGGCCTGCTTAGCTCTTCCCCATCTAGCCATTTCTTCACTTGATGTCACACATACAGCTACTTTTCCAGCTTTGGATGAAGTTATATCCCAGTCTCTAGAAGTATGGTTTCAGTGAAATTATGAATGGACAATCTGCTGGAATGGAAAAGGCTGAAGAATCCCTTTTCCCCTACTGTTTTTTGCTCCCAGTCACAGCATCTAAGACTGCTTTTCATCTAAGCAAACGGGCAAAACCACTGGGGAAAACAGTTTATCCCATCTTAGTTGGTCCTCTTCCTTCCTGCCAGGGAATCCCATTTTGGTAAGGCATGGAAGATCTCTGCACATAATGTTCAGTACCCCAGTAAAGTGCAAATCCCAGAGTTCTTTGAGAAAAGTCATGAGAAGTGACAGTTCAAAGTGTTTTGGTGCCTGAGACAGGAAACCCAAGTGAAAATTCAAATCTGAATATAATAAGTTAAAGAACTAATTAGCTGTTTTAATTGTACCTAAGTCTGCCACCTAAGGACCACCTAGCCCTAGCCATGCATATTAAAATGACTGATAAACATAAGCTCGGTGCACAGCGAAACAACTGAGAGGCTGAGCTATGAACAAGGGTGCTCCTGGTGCAGCCCTGTCTTCCACCAAGTGACACAAACTCATTAGACAGTCCAAAGCCAGCCACTCTCTCTCAGATCCTCCACTGGGATATGAGGATGACACTGAGCCATTTTGCAGGGCGGTTGGATTGCTGCCATGACGTATGTGAAATGCTTTGAACATTCAGAGGGTGCTATAGAAAGCCTATTATGATATTTGGGTACTCATGATGCTTGCTCTCCTTTGTTCCTTGTGCCCCCCCCCCGCCCCCAGTCTTCTCCTCTTATCCTCTGAGCCACTTTAGAACCAGATGTCAAGCTGGAACCCCAAACTGGACTCTAAAATCCCTAAGACTTCATGATGAAGAAGGAGCACGATTAAGCCAGTGCTGTGACGTGTGCTAGTGCAAGAGGCACTTTAAAATACACACGAAAGGAAGGAGCAGCCCTGGAATTGTGGGCTTCAGGTAGGCAAAGGAATGACAGTCCAGAGGACACAAGAAGTGAAAGGGCAAGCACAATTGTTTGCTTACACAGGGAAGCAGCACAGGAGGGCGAGTGAGAACAAGCAGCAGGCATGCAAGCAGCACCTTCCAAGGCAGGCAAGCATGAACCCTCATGTCCTAAGGCTCCCAAAAGTACCTTGTATATCGAGCTTGGCCTCGCACTGCTTGGTGCCATACTCATTGATGGCCTTGCAGGCGTAATAGCCAGCATCCGTGCACTCCACCATGCGGAGGTATAGGCAAAAGGATCCATCCTCCTCCTCCACCGCAGAGATGCGCCTCCCATACTTTACCGGGTGCCTATTCTTCAGCCTAGAGAACAGAGAAAAAGGTCTGAGAGCCTGCAGTGCTTGCAACCCCAACTCACTTCAAGAGATGCCTCTTCTACTCTCCTTCTGAAGCCCGTCTTTTTTCACTATGCCTCTTCCATCCTGCCAGGTTCTTCTCCAACTCTGTTGCTGCTATATACATAGCCTTTCATGCAATACAGTCAAGGATGTCCAACCCAGAAGAACAGATAACATGTTTTGCTGTTTCATCTCATTTAGGTCAGTTGGTCTTGAGCTTGACACCAATACCTTCGAGAAGATAGGTGCCCAAGATCTGCTTCCTTGTTGCCACTCCATCCCTTACATCAACCTAACCATCCCCCAGGTAGCTCTAGGGCCCTCTATAATAATGGCCACTGACCGAATTCTGCAAACCTTTGCCAGCATACACCTTACACAATGGTCAGTCGATTGTGGCATACCAAAGGCAAGAAAGGAAAAAGGGCCCGACTTTCTCCTGATGTACAGAAGCTTCCCTGACTGGCCACCTGATGGGAATCCTTACTTTGCCAGGCTGGGGTCCCCATCTATTGCTGCCAGCCCCACTGCCATCTCATCCCTGCCAACATGGTACCAGGGCAAGAGGGCCACGATTAAAGTCATGCAGTATGATAGCACTACTCACCAGTGCACAATAGGCTTGGGCTCTCCCTGCACCCGAATGCGCAGGACCACGTCCTGTCCCTCCTGTACCGCCTGGTCACCCAGTGCCACCTGCAGGACAGGGCATCGGAATCATTCCCAGTGTCAAAGGGAGCTAGAAAGCAGGCTTGCTTTAGGACAGGTGCAGCACCTTCAGGTGAACAAAGGGTGGAAGCTGCTCCTTGCTCCCAGTGGGGGACTCTGCAAGCACCTGTTGAAAGCCCAGGGACCACCTCCTGACCTCAACCCAAAAGAACACTTCTTTAAACCTGGGTGCTTTTCAAAGAATGCCAGAACTGCAGGCCTCACCACTCCCTGTCCGCTCACCTCAAAAGACGGTGCAGCCTTGAAGCTGGTGCCCACATGTGCCGGGGCTTGGCCAAGCTCAGACCGGGGCTGCACTCTCATGACAGGGTGGTGCCGAGGAGTGCTGGACTCAGGGAACTCCTCCAGAGGACTCAGGTACTCTTCATCTGATGTGACTGGGCTGCTGAGCTCATGGCGGGGCACCAGACGGCTGTGGCTCTCCGGAGGAGCTAGACAGACAGAAAAGCATCCGGAGTGTTCATTGTGCAAAGCACAGCAGAATGGCAAAGGCCTCTTACCAATGGGTGAAACGCAGGGGGCTATGGATGGATCCCACCTAAGCGCAGATGGATTTTAGTTGCCTGCATGTTCATAAGCACCAAGCAAGTTACAGCATCCGGCTTCCCATATGGTTTCCCAGTGCTATTTTTTAAGAGTTAAGGCTTCAGCTTTCTTTGCTTTTTAAAATAGGCTATTTTGGGAAAGGATACAAAATGGAATGCCTCAGCATGAATTAATTCCTTCCAAAGGGTCAGATACCAACAGAACTTCATTACATCAAGATGACCAGCTGCTTTAGAAACCATCCAGGCTTGGCCGAATGTCTTCTCCCATCCCCCTCAATATGTATTGCCCTTCCCAATGGCCATAGTCATGCACTGGGAGACACTGGGACCCTGTGAAAATGGCCTTGTGGACAAGAAGAACAGCAAACAAGTTAATGCATGATCTGATTAGAGTCCAGATTAGAGACTGTCAGTTCTAATGTTAGCTAGGAAAATATGGCTACCACTTCCCCACAGCTCCATCTAACTCCACGGATGAGAAAGATAACAA